GCAGGAGGTGTTGATATTAGTGATGGTGGGTGGTGTTGATGTCCGTGATGGTGGGGATGTATTGATGTTTGTGGTTCGTTGTGGTGAGCTGTTCATGTTCATCGTAGTGGTGATTGGTGGTGGCATTGATGGAAATTCTTCTTGTTGATGGCTGCTGTGCTTGCACTTCAACACCATTGATTACAGCTGTCGGCCGGACATTATCGAGACATTAGCGGGCATGGCTGGGGGTGGCCACCGAAAATCGTTCATTATTGTTGACGACGCCTGCCTCATAGTTGTGGGGGGGGGGGCGAGCACAAGGCAAATAACGCGAGTGATTGAGACAGTGAGGACATTGGTCTCCTGATTGGGAACACTGCTGAGCCTGTGTCTACGCATCCCTGTGCGTTTTTGACCGCTCAGGGTCACGGGTTTGGGCTGTCTCATCCCGCGTGGTTCAGCCCGTGAAGAGGGGGGGGGGGGGGGATGGTGTGGCGGTTGTGCGTGTGGTGGGGAGTGGTAGTGCAGCGGGTTGGGGAGCGGTAGTGCAGCGGGTTTTATAGCGCAGCGCTGCGAACCCGTGACAAACTATGCGCGACAATGAAAACGAGCAGAAAAATAGGAAATTTTGCCGAGTTGGGGAAAAAAAGATACCGTTGCACATTCGACGGTCAATTCTGCTCCGTCGATTTACATTTCCCCCCCCTGTGTTTGTGCCAACTTTGTCACGCGTGGTGGCAGTGTTTAACCCGCTCTATTTGCACGCACAGCCCTCTACGTCAATCCACTGCTGGATGAGGGCCTCCCGCACACCGTGGCGGGCCGCTGTGGAAGCAAGCGGACGTTTGCCGATCCTTTACCCGCGGCAGACAGCGGCAGGTTATTTTTTCGCAAGCGCTCAGTGTTGGAACCGAACCAGTTCCGTCGGCGGATCGCATGTCCTCGCCGTGTCTGGAAAGTAGTGCGTACCCCGGGCCTGTGTGTTCCCTCCCCGTTTTGGGATTGGTACGGACCACTCCGACTCTGCCTCCTGGCTGGCGGCCGCCCCAACTGTTGCGGCAGTAAATCAGACAGAGTCCCACGATTTATGTGTTTGTGCTACTCGTGTGCGAAACCCATCACGCCCGCCCGTGCGCCCTCTGTCTCGCCGAGGCCAACAGCCCTGATTTTCAAGCTGTTCGAGGGCCACACCGCCGATCCGCGGCGTGCGCAGCACGTGGTGGCGGGTGGCGTAACGATAATGAATTGGGGGGGGGGGTCAAGAGGACGGGCGTGTAAAGTTGCCCCAGGGAGAGGGGCTGCCTAACCCGTGTGTGTCAGTGCGGCCGTTTGCGTGCGCTGTAAAACGAGACAGCCGATTTGAGGGTGATTTGAGAGGCGGGCGTTGATAACATAATGCAAGACAGAGACCGGAGTATCTGCGAGTGATTATTTCGTTTGTGCCCCGCTTGTCACCCGCGTTATCAATCAGCAGGTCACGGAAAGTCTGCCCGCGTGCGTGTGTGTTTGTGTGTGTCGGTGCACAAGCGTCGTGGTGACGTCACCGCCACTCAGTGGCGAATGGCGGTTGTTGTTGTCGTTGTTGTCAGTGCGTTCGTGTGCCGGTGCGTGCGTCTGTGCGCGTCCTTGTACGCGCGCGCGTGTCCTTGCAGGCCGCCGCGGTGAGCGGTGGCGCAGTGGTTAGCGCGCTGCGCCATGAACATAGCACGGTTGCTTCGTTTGCCGACCACGGCTAACATCGGTGGCAATTATCTGAAACCGGTCCTGGGCCTCCCTATAGGTCGCCTCAACCTTAAATTAGTATACGCCGCTGTGTGCCAAACATCAGCATTGGGGAGAAAAATGCAACGGTGCGTGGTTCTCGCCACACCATCCACTCGCGCTGCCGTGCCGGCCTTAACAGGTGCTCGCCAACAGCACTTGTCCCAACAGCCTGTGCGGTCTACACTGGAGATCATTGTATTCGGTGTGTCCATGAGTGGAAATGCATCTATGCATTTAATCCTTGTGTGTGCGTGCATGTGCTTGTGGGTCCCTGCCCACCAGCGGCCCCCTGTGTGCCATGCGGGCCTTCGTAGGCACTCGCTAATAGTCTTAAAGCGGGCTCCACGGAAGAGCGGGTCATATAGTTGTGTTTGTGATTTCAAAACCAACCCCCCGCCCCCCCGAGCAGGTGATCAGGTACCCCTAGGGCGCTTTAATCCGTGAGTGGGTTCTGGTTGTTTGTATCGTCTGGCTTATTATGAATCTCGAAGGCCCCGTGGGACGAAATAAATGGAGGTTGTTTTCGCTCATTAAGTTCGCGAAGCCGCCACACCTGCTCACTCACTCGCTCGCTCTCCTCTGCTGTTCCAATGGTTCACCCCAAACCGCAGAACAACGAGGAGCGATCCACCCTCTGCGTCTCCACTTTGCGGCTTCAATCTGCTGCCGGTCGTTTGCCGGTGCCGGTCCCAGTGCCGAGGCTGGTACCGGTGCCGCTCCTGGCACTGGTCCCGGTGCCGGGCCAGTGTTGGTCCCAGCGCTGGTCCCAGTTTCCGGTGCTGGCCGCCTCCTGCTCATCTCGTCAGCCGCACGAGCGCTTGATTCGTTCCGCAGCTGCTGCTGTGGCTGCGGCGGCAGCAGCGGTGGGTTATGTTGAGGCTCGCGGCCCGACGTTAGAAGCGCTCGGAGGCTGCATTCGGTGGTTTCCGCGGTTTCGTGATTCACGACAGACGCTCACCGCCGCCAGATGACCATCCTTGCCATCGTCCTTCGTGCGGCAAGATGTTGATGTAGAGCAGCAGCTATAATTGTCCGGATAGTTTCGAGTTTTTTTTTTTTTTTTACACAGACGACGATGGCCCCGGCTCGCCGCTGGCCCGGTTGTTTTACATGGGAGGTCTGTAGTGCTGCGCGAGCTACAGCAGCAGCAGCAGCAACAGCAACAAAAAGGACAAAAAACGTCGACTTTCAGGAGAACGAGTGCAGCAGGGTCCTCAAGGTTTATTGCACAACTGACGAGGAGTTCAACGGTCGTAGACGTAGCACAAGCGGTCCTAAAAAAGCGTAGTGCAAACAATGCAGAGCAAGAGGCAAGAGAGATGATAGCGTGAGGAGCAGCGGAGTGGGGTATCGCTGTGAAAGTGCCTCTATGGGTCTCTGTGTGAGTCTATGATTTCTGTGTGAGTCTATGAGTCTCTGTGTAAGCCTATAGGTCTCTGTGTGAGTCTGTGAGTTTCTGTGTGAGTCTACGGGTATCTTGTGTGAGTCTATGGGTCTCTGTGTGAGTCTACGGGTATCTTTGTGAGTCTTTGGGTCTCCGTGTGAGTTATGGGTTTCTGTGTGAGCCTATGGGTATCTGTATGAGTCTATGGGTCTCTATGTGAGTCTTTGGGTCTCTATGTTAGTGTGTGACTCTGTATGTGACTCTATAGGTCTCTGTGGGAGTGTATTGGCCTCAATTGTATCAGGAGTAGCGGAGTGATGCATCGCTGTGATGATGCCTCCTCCTTCCTAATGGTGAATCGGGCATTGAGTCGGAATTTTAATCTTTATTTAGACAGGGGGCATTAGATGAGCTATGAAGCTCTTTTTCACAGATGTCCAATACGGGCGAATCAGCAAGTTAAGTTAGATGTCCCCATGGTCCTGGTCAGGGTGTTGACCACAGTCGCCGCATCGTCGCATCTGTCACGAGGATTCGCACGGTTGCCTACGTACGGTGCGAAAGAAGTGCAACGTACAGTACATACATACGAGGAGGCGTTCGTTCGTGGTTTCTTTGCGAACACCGTTCGGCCTTCCAAGCGTCATCATCAGGGCTGAAGTTGCATTGTTGAAAGTTTATGACTTTGTTTCTGCGTTGCCAGTTACCCAAGAGTTCATCGTTGCGTTCCATATTTTTTAAAATTAATTCTCGTAATGGGCAGCCACACCTGGACTTGCGAGCCAGAGGTCGCCAATTCAACTCCCACCACCTCCCTGCGGGCACGGCAGTTGAAACAGCGGGAATGAGTTTCATAATTCCCCCTGCCCCAACCCCTTCAATGAATGGCAGCGTGCGTGTGGTGGGGATAAACGTGGGCACTCCCACCTCTTTCAACGTTCAGCTTGGCGCCGTGACGGTGAGATGTTAGCTACCTCACCTCGCATACAAGAGGTCGTGAGTTCGATCCTGACCCTGACGCCTGGTGTATATTTGGAGTCTGCATGTCTCTCTACCCGCGGTCGCGTGGATTTTTCCCTCCACATTTAAAGTCAACGTGCGTTTAGAGTATTTGGCTGCGATAAGCCACTTCGTTGAGCTATAATTTTTAGTGGCCAGGTCGCTTCTGAAAAAGAGCTGTACAGCTCAGTGGGCCTCTTGCCTGATAAAGACCCACGCCCACGGTGCAAGGAAGGCCAAACAGAAGAGTCCACCACTCCCCTTTGAGCGGTGGACTCTGCCGTCAGCAGCGACGGAGTGAGCGAGCGTGCGATCGCAGCGCTGCTGCGCCTGCAACCTTTGTGCACGTGGTTAAATTGACCTAGTTTGTTGCGTAGATCAAAGCCAGTTGGTTTAATTGGAGGACGCATGTTGCGCAGCGCTGGGAGGCCACTTGAGATGCGTTGCGAGCGAGGCTCCTAATGAAGCCTCGCGCTTTCACTTCCACGTTTTGTTTGTTAACGGGACGCAAGGCGCCGAGCTGGAGTGATTTCAATTTTAATAACGATCCTCCAAATTTTTTTTTCCCGTCGTTGTTGTTCGTCACTCCGTTAATATTACACGTGCGCGCGCAAAGCATGTTCGCCGCATCCTGCCGCGCGCGTGTACACGAGCGTGTGCGTGCACGTGCACACGCGCGGCAGGGTGGTGGGGAGCGGGGGGAGCGGCGGCGCCGCGGCCGCCGCTCCGCGCTACGGACCCGGCTCAAGGACAACGTCGAGCGACCGAACAACCAAACCGGTCGTCCCGGGGCCTGCCTCCCCCGAGGTCGACTCGGCCTTTAACGAGTGCTCGCTGCGTGCGTGCGTGCGTGCGTTGTGCTCCACCACAGCCCAGACCAATCCCCCCTGGAACCTAACTTGGGAGCTGGTGGGCGACGAGGCGGGGGAGGGCGCCACGGAGCACGAGCTTGGCGAGGTGCGCCTGCGCTGGCAGCCACCGCTGGAGCCGGACATCCGCAGCGGGTGGATAACGCTCGAATACCAGATCCGCGTACGGGACAACAGCACCCTCAACTGGACGGTAAAGGCCCGAGATTGAACCCCTTTCCCCCGGGAGGTGTCCTTCGCGGAGACGGAGCAGGTCGAAGTGCCCTTTTAGAAATACGACGCAACACGCCAATGTGCCCAAAAGAAAAAAGTTTATTGAACCGATGCATACCACTTATGTGTGTACGTGTGTTGAATTTCACTCGCACCGCACTGAGCCAACCGTAGTAATTCGAGGTACCACCCGCTATTATAACAATGATCTTAATTATTTTTTTTTCTACCTACGTGACTTTACCGAAAGAACCAAGGAGTATGAATTCCTGCAGTCAAGAAAGCTTCAAATCAAGAATGGTCTTAAATGTATACGTCGCTTGCTTAAATTACTCTTACAACTCAAAAAGGGGCTTGCGTCTCATCCCCAACATTTGATGGGCAACTCCAGTGGCAGCTGTCTCTGCGCGACACAAACGTGGCTCAGCTTCGGCCTGCAAGTGAGCATTCGTCCGCCATTATTTAAAACGCCGGTGGCACACGACGGCCCACTCCTGTGAATCGCGTCACGCGATTTTTGACGTCCACCGCGAAACGCAGGCAGCTCGGATTTTACAGTTAATGAGCGGACACACTCGGCGATGTTAACCAGGGCGGCCGCTTGGTTTGAACCGAAAAGCGTTCCCCGCTCGGCATACGTCGCCGCCGCCGTGCGTGCGTGTACGGTGAACTTTTTCCACGCCGTACGTAGCCAACCGCGCTAATCGGAGGGTGCGGGAGACAACAATAAACTAAACACATAAAAGCAGTTCGAAAGAAGTGAGTTTGTCAATCTATACGATGATTTCAAAGTGCATAGCTCCCAGTGCCTTCCTAATATCGGAAGGGCTGAACGTTCCAGACGGCCGCAGAAGCACAACCCTGGCTTTCCCCACGAAGTTTTTGTTTCCTCACCTCTGGCCGCTCACTGACCTCCTTGCCCCGACTGGACATCTGCGGGAAAAAAAAAAGGTTCCACGGCTCATCTGATACCTCCGGGGAAAAAAAAAAAGATTCTGATTATGATGACTTCCCGAACGCACCTTCCAACGACATCTTCCCCCCTCTCACCTCCACCCTCCTCCGGGCGCAAAAAAAAATAAACCCCCGGCAAATCGGGGGGATTCACGTGTCGGGGGACATTTGCGAGCACGTTGCTTTGGCCCCCTCATTCGCAGCTCCCCCGCTTAATTAGAATCAACTGCCAGTCTCCTAAAACGGAGAGAGAGACACAGAGAGAGAGAGAGAACGAGCCCATGCCTCCCGAGGCCTTTGGCTCGTTTAAAACAGCGGTGGCTGACGCGGTCACCGTGACCCTTGTTTTTAACGGCCCCCCCCCCCCCCCCGCTGTATTTCATTTCCGAGCGTCGTTTCCCCATTCCGCTTGCGGAGTTTGACGCTCTTGAAAAGTGGCGCGTGGGTGCGGGTGGTGTCAGTATGTGTTGTGTGACCCGCCGCGCTACGAACCCGGCAACCCGTGTTCGATTATCCGAACCGGTTCTGGGCCTCCCCTAGGTCGACTTAGTACCTGGTGCGGTGTGTAAATATCACCACTAAGGAGACAAAGGCGGCCGGGCGTGGTGCTGGCCACCCACCACCTCGTGTGCTGTGCCAGCCTTCATAGGTGCTCGCTAACAGCACTTGCCCCAACAGTCTGTTCAAGGCTATCGGGGGGGGGTCTTTGTCTTTTGTGTGCTTGTATATTTTTTCATGTACGTGTATGCGTGCTCGCACGTAACCATGGTTATCACTCATTTGTACGACGTTTGCAACTGAAAAAACCCCCCCCCATCAAAATCGACCCCTTGGGATATTATTATTTTATCAAATCGTTTTATTCGCTTTTTACCGTCTCCCATTAGCTGACAATTCCGACGATGGGGCTGCTTCCCTTTCTGCGCGAAGAACCAGCCTACTGATCTGTACAGCTCAGTGGGCCTTACCTGGTAAAGTTTTAATAAATAAAAGCATAAAACCCCGTGCGTCCCGTTGCATTGCATCATCACCACCTCCTCCAACAGTCTGTTCATGCTATTTGGGGGATCTTTGTCTTTGTGTAGCGGTTGGCGCGCTGCGCTACGAACCCGGCGACCCGAGTTTGATTCCCGCTCACGGCCAACACCAATGACAATTATCTGAACTGGTCCTGGGCGCCTCCCCTAGGTCGACTCAGCCTCAAATGAGTACCTGGTTTCAGTGTGTAAACATCGCCAAGAGGGAGACAAAGGCGGTCGGGCGTGGTTCTGCCCACAGACTGCGTCATGTGCCATGCTAACAGCGCTTGCCTCACCGGTGTGTTAAGGCTCTAGGGGGATCTTTGTCTTTTTGTGTGTGCAGGCATGTGTCTATCAGTGCATATGTTTGTGTGCGTGCTTGTTTTTGTGTATGAGTGTGCGTGTGGGTGCACGCCTGTGTTTACATGTGCGCGCGCGTGTGTGTGCATGCGTGTTGGTGTGCGTGGGAGTGTGTACGTACCACGTGCGTGGGTCTTCCTGTAAGTGCGTGTGTGCGTGCGTGCGTGTTTTACGTGTTTGTGTTTTTTTTTTGCGCGCGCGTTGGTGCGTATGTGAGACGTGTCGCGCGTCCTAGCGGCGGCGTGTTGATGGGTTGCCTAGCAACGTGAAGTGTTATTGGAGAGGAATGAGTGACACGCTCACACACTCACCAATCCGGTCGGCCTTCCTTGCACCGTCCCTCTCTCTGGGTGTGCTCATCCCCGTGCGCGCGCACGTGTGCGTGCGCGCGCACGCGCTCGCACGCACACGTGCGTGACCAGGAATAGCGTAAAATATGCTTGCACGTGTGCCTCTGTGTGTGTATGTGTCTCTGTGTGTGTGTCTTTGTTTTTGTGTGTGTATGTGTCTCTGTGTGTGTCTTTGTTTTTGTGTGTATGTGTCTCTGCGTGAGTGTCTTTGTTTTTGTGTGTGTGTCTCTGCGTGTGTGTCTTTGTTTTTGTGTTTGTATGTGTCTCTACGTGTGTGTCTTTGTTTTTGTGTGTGTGTGTCTGTGCGTGTGTTAGTCTTTGTTTTTGTGTGTGTATGTGTCTCTGCGTGTGTTAGTCTTTGTTTTTGAGTGTGTCTCTGTGTATGTGTCTGTGTGTGTGTGTTTCTGTGTGTGTATGTGTCTCTGCGTGTGTTAGTCTTTGTTTTGTGTGTGTATGTGTCTCTGCGTGTATGTGTCTCTGTGTATGTCTGTGTGTGTGTCTCTGCGTGTGTTAGTCTTTGTTTTTGTGTGTGTATGTGTCTCTGCATGTGTCTCTGTGTGTGTCTCTGTGTGTGTATGTGTCTCTGCGTGTGTTAGTCTTTGTTTTTGTGTGTGTATGTGTCTCTGCGTGTATGTGTCTCTGTGTGTGTATGTCTCTCTGTGTGTGTGTATGTGTCTCTGTGTATGTATGTCTCTGCGTGTATGTCTCTGTGTGTGTCTCTGTGTATGTATGTGTCTCTGTGTGTGTATGTGTCTCTGCGTGTATGTGTCTCTGTGTATGTGTCTGTGTGTGTGTATGTGTCTTTGCGTGTGTGTGTATGTGTCTCTGCGTGTATGTGTCTCTGTGTGTGTCTGTGTGTGTGTCTCTGCGTGTGTTAGTCTTTGTTTTTGTGTGTGTATGTGTCTCTGCATGTGTCTCTGTGTGTCTCTGTGTGTGTATGTGTCTCTGCGTGTGTTAGTCTTTGTTTTTGTGTGTGTATGTGTCTCTGCGTGTATGTGTCTCTGTGTGTGTATGTCTCTCTGTGTGTGTGTGTATGTGTCTCTGTGTATGTATGTGTCTCTGCGTGTATGTCTCTGTGTGTGTCTCTGTGTATGTATGTGTCTCTGTGTGTGTATGTGTCTCTGCGTGTATGTGTCTCTGTGTATGTTTCTGTGTGTGTATGTGTCTTTGCGTGTGTGTATGTGTCTCTGTGTATGTATGTGTCTCTGTGTGTGCATGTGTCTCTGTGTGTGGGGTGCGGTGGCGAAATGGTGAGCGCGCTGCGCTACAAACACGGCAAGATGAGTTTGATTCCTGCTCACAGCCAACACCAGTGACTTTTACGAAACGGGCCTGGACCTCCCCTAGGTCGACTCAGCCTCAAATGAGTACCTGGTGTGATGTGCAAACATCGCCGTTGGGGAGACAAAGGCAGTCGGGCGTGGTGCTGGCCACCCACTCCCTCGTGTGCTGTGCCGGCTAACAGCACTTGCCCCAACAGTCTGTTGAAGGCTACACGGGGGATCTTTGTGTGCCGGAGTGTGTTGGCGCTGTGGCACACACGCGTGAGTCACATGGATGATATGTCCTCTCACGTTGGGCAGCGCACCCGCGTGTTTTGGACTCAATGTTGATGGTTTAGCACGGCCGTAGGAATGCTAAGGTTGGCGCTGCGGAGTTTACAAGGAGCGCTCTGCACCGGGAGGCGGCGGGGGGGGGGGTGGCAGTGGCTACGGAATGCGCGTCACGACGGGCCTCCAGCAAGTGACGGGGGGAACGCTCGCGATTAGCGGCGCCACCGCTCCACAAACCCGGCGGCCCGATTTCGATTCTCGCTCACGAGGCCACCAACCTAGGCCGACCCAACCTCAAACGAGTTCCCGGTCCGATGCGGAAACATCGCCGCCGGGAAGCAACGGGCGGCCGGGCGAGCGTGCAGTGGTGGCCACCCGCCCCCTTTCGTGTGCCGTGCCGGCCTTCGCGGCGAACAGCGCTTGCCCCAACAGTCCGCTATAAGGCTTTGTCTCCGTGCCCGCCCCCTTACGTGCGTACCTGTGGCAGCTGAGAGAGGAGCACGTGAGCGTCATGCACCACGTGCTGCTGGGCCCGCGGCCCGGACGCCCCTTGGAGGTGCAGGTGCGGTGCAAGCCGCGCACCTTGGGCATCTGGAGCGAGTGGAGCGAATCGCTGCTGGTGATCACGGGTACGTGCCCTCTCGCGATCCCGCCACCCCCGCCGCTCCGTCCGTTCGTCGCCCGTCACCCGTCGCCGGTCGTCGTCGTGACGACTACGCTCGCTGCTCACGCCATCGTCATAGCACAAGGCGATCGCGAAGGAAGGCGCCGCCATCGCCGAGTAGGCGGGCAAATGGTTTTGCCGCGGTGTTCCCCCAATTGAGTCATTTGCGCGTGAATGTTTCCTCTCTCGTGTTTTTCATGTTGTCGATCGTAACACCGCAACGCACGGCTTACTCTTTTTCGAATGACGTCGCGGGGTCTATACGTTCGCGCGTGAAGCAGACACCGCCATCGTATTCACTGTTAACGCATCCGCAGTATTAACCAGGGCGGCCGGGGGTCTGGAACCGCAAACTCATGCTCTTGTTTGGCCACGGCATAACAATAGGTGTTCACATGTTAAAACACCAAACAATAATTTCAAAGACAATGCACGTATTATCAGAGCATGTTTTTTTTGCATGATCGCCACAAGTACGTGTGGTTAATGCAGACAGGATTCCTTGAAAAATTATTTTGTTTGGTGTTGTAACATCTTAACACCTTGACTTAAAGCGGTTGCGACTGCAGGAATTCATATTCTTTGGGTAAAGCCACGTAGATAGAAAAATAATAAAAAAATATTATTTTTAATTTTTCTATATTATTTTTTTTTAATCTACGTGGCTTTACCGGAAGACCCAAAGAATATCTTAACACCTGTTTCATTGCCAGAAAGGTCAAAACCTATCGCCAACGCGTTGTCCAGTCCGCCAGGTCCCGCAGCTGCTGCACAGATGATTCACAGCGACCTCCAAGATCTTGCAGTCTCATCTGACCCATAGACTCACACAGAGACCCATAGGCTCACACAGAGACTGGACATCTGTGAAAAAGAGCTTCATAGCTCATCAGATTTCTCCAGCAAATAAAGATTTTGATTCTGAGACCCATAGACTCACGCAGAGACTCATAGACTCAGAGGGGCACACAGTTCTGCCCTGACCAGTCTCCCACCATCTGCTCTTTGGCCTTCTCTTCCCCTTGGTCGCTGGACTCGAGGAAGACCGCCACCCCAATGCCTGTCTGGGCAAATCAGCCCTCGCGCCCCCACCCTGCACGCTCGCCCCACCGCTGTTTTCTGCTAAATCACATAGACAAACATTCGCCTGCCCCGTATTCTCTCCCGGATTGCTTCTCCTGCCTTGCCGTGGAAAATTCCCAGCATCCGTCAACAGACACAAAGAGCTCAGATGCCAATAACTCCTTATCGGGCTGCTTTCTTAGTCATATCGCCTCTGCGCGTGCTCGAGATGACGCCTCTGTCGCGCTACAGATCATGCTCTCGCTCGCTCGCTCGCTCGCTTGCGTCTGACCCACAGTGTCCGTGTTGTCTCTGTGGTCGCAGAGGGCTGGGACCTGCTGCAGGTGCTGCTGGTGCTGGGGGTGCTGGTTTCCTGCTGCCTCCTCGCCACGCTACTGCTGCTCCTCCGCTGCCACACACGGTTGCCGGCGCACCGCAGCAGTCGCTCGCGACGCGGCTGTCACACACGACACCCCATTTGTTCATTTTGTGAACGAAATCAGCGTAGAAAATATTCGACTGCAATCACCACTACTAGGTTACAGCTGCCCACTAATATCACTACCACCATCACATCACCACCACCACCACGATCACCTCCACCAGCACCACAACTAGAATCACCACCCCACGGCCCAAAGTGCCACCACTGTGACGAAAGGGACAAACGGTGGCGTCTCAATGATCACACAGAGCGAGGTAAATAATTGAGTAACGCAAATTTGAGACAGTGATGCTCGGGGGGAAGACCAAACATGCCCATTGGGTATAGATGTACTTTGCAAATATTTACAATTCAATTCTTGCGAATGGCAATATTATTCAGGAGCTCAATGCCAATGTCGAGGTCCTGCTGCTGCTGCTGGCCACAACGAGAGGGCTTTGGCAGAGAGAGAGAGCGAGAGTTCGTGTGGCGCTGCTGTTCCTCCTCCTCCTGCTCCTCCGTTGAAGGAGCGCAGACCGCAGTGCGGTTACTGTGCGGTCGATCATCGGGTTGCATGGCTACAATCACAGCACTGTCACTTGTGTCTTTAATGTATCTCTACGTGTCTCCCGTGAGTCTCTATGGGTTAACTGTGTGGTCCACAGTGTGGTTTGCATGGCCACAATCGCAGCTCTGTGTCTTATCTCTTTAATGTATCTCTGTGTGTCAGTATGTATCTCGACGTATCTCCGTAAGTCTCTATGGGCTTAACTGTGTGGTCCACAGTGTGGTTTGCATGGCCACAATCGCAGCTCTGTGTCTTATCTCTTTAATGTATCTCTGTGTGTCAGTATGTATCTCGACGTATCTCCGTAAGTCTCTATGGGCTTAACTGTGTGATCCACAGTGTGGTTTGCATGGCCACAATCGCAAGCACTGTGGCTCGTCTTACTTCACCGATTGGCTGAGTTGATAATATCGTGGTGGTGGGGAATTGCGCGCCCCTCGCAGCAACACGTACCAACCAATGCAGCATCCGATTGAATGTGCGACGGCTCCAGTCGCATAGACGGAGGGAGCGACTCCGTGAGACATCCACAGACCGAGACTCGACTCGAACTGCACAGGCTGTCGTCGACCGGGCTAAGACTGTTGGTTGGAAAGCGTTAACGAGCAGAGTCTGATTGGCAAGCCGTTCCGATGGCGTACTTGTCGTCCGCAAGGCGTAACGTTACGCAATTAACCCACACCCGCAGCGAGTTTTGAGTTAATTTTGTTTAGCCAGGGTGAGAACTCAGGAGACCAGGATAGGAGTCGCGTTTTGCCGAAGGCGAAGAGTGACCTGGTCGTCACCAAAATGGCGAAATTGATACAAATTAAAACCTTTGTACGGAAAATGAAGCAAATATAAATCTGCAAAAAGCAACTGTCACATGATAAATTGGAAACAGCGCACAATCATAATCAAATATTTTCTGAAATAGATTTCCAGCAACAAAAGTTAACTGTGACACATTACTTTAAAAAAAAGATTCATGGGAAAAGTACGTATCAGAAACCAGTTTACAAAAAAAAACTTCAGTTACATCAAAATACATTCACGCCACGTGCGTGTTCCTTTCCTGTAGACACCTCCGGGCCTTTCACCAGGATCAGTGTAAACAAGCCCCGACTCTTGCTGATGAGACACTGAACGTCGAAACCGCCCCCCCCCCCCCTCCAGAGTTGTCTTGCATTACACCTGATTTAACTGCTGACAAAAAATATTTAAAAAATCGCTCCTCCAGAAGGCCGTGTGTGACTGATGGGATGTAAAAAAAAACAAACCCCGCATTTTATTATTGATATTAAATATCTTTTTTTTTGTTGTGTGTGGAGGGACACAAATGGGACGAATGCAAAACTGCCTGTCCTGTCACGTGACCCCCCCCCCCCCTACGTGTGCATCTCGCTGACTCTACTTCGCTACCTCTCCGTGAATGTCAGGATGGCCAAGTGGCTGTTCCCTCCGGTGCCCAGCCCCCGCATCCGCGGCATCGACCCAGATATGCTCAAGGTACTTGACTGGAACATGCCACTTTACTCGCACACACAAAGGCAAAGATTCGCCGCCCCCCAACCCCCCCCCCCCTCGTGAAGAATGTTTGGGGCAAGCGCTATTCCAACGCGGTGCACGAAGTCACGGTAGTGCGTGACCAGCGTCACTCCCGCCCGGCCGCCTTTGTCTTCCCAGTGCTGATGATTACACACCAGCACCGGGCAAGCATTTAAGGATGAGTTGACCTTCGGGGGGCCCAGGGCTGCTTTAGAAATTCGTCACCGATGTTGGCCGCGAGCGGGAATCGAACTTGGGTAGGGCCGGGTTGGTAGCGCAGTCCACTGAACGCTGCGGCACCGCTCACATACGCACATTCTGTATACATTCATGTGCGTGACCGACTTATATAACACACTGCCCACTCCCATATAAATATATACCTGCCCAGACAAATAGAAGCACACACACATATAACCACACACGCTTGCCCTCCACCCCCTCATACACGCACAGACTCACACCTCCTCTTTCATAATCACACACACACCCCACTTACAAGACAAAGATCCTCCGTATTGCCTTAACAGACTGTTGGGGCAATTTCTGTTAACGGGCGCCTATGAAGGCTGGAACGGCACACGAGGGGGTGGGTGGCCAGCACCACGCCCGGCCGCCTTTGTCTCCCCAGTGGCCATGTTTACACACCACACAGGTACTCATTTAAGGCTGAGTCTATCTAGGGGAGGCCCCGGACCGGTTCATTTAATCGTCACTGGTGTTGGTGACCGTGAGCGGGAATCGAAGAACCCCGGTCGCCAGGTTCGTAGTGCAGCGCGCTAACCGCTAAACGAACCACTCCTCTGTTACACACACACACAAGCCACACACACACAGGCCACACACACACAGGCCACATACACACAGGCCACTCACACACAGGCCACATACACACAGGCCACACACACACAGGCCACACACACACAGGCCACACACACACAGGCCACACACACACAAGCCACACACACACAGGCCACACACACACAGGCCACACACACACAGGCCACTCACACACAGGCCACATACACACAGGCCACTCACACAAGCACCAACCGAGACTTGCCGGAGGTACTTGACTCAGAGCACGCCGCCCGCGCCCCCCTCCACTACCCAACACACGCCCAGACACGCTGTGCCACACGCACACTCACACACCTCCTCCCCTCCACCCGCACCTCCTCCACACCTCGTCCACACCCCGGCGCACGCGTGGTCTGGGTGCTAAGCGGGGGCTGCCCGCACCGCGGGTGCCGTGATCATTTTCGTATAATTAAAATATTTCTAGGGGGATAATCCCTGGGGATGGAACGGTCTCTCGTTTGCAACGGGGTTTGGCCGACGCATGGCAGTGGCGCAAAAAACGAAAATTTCAAACTGGTACCATGTATAGCCCGACGAAAGGCCCACGGTTATTGTATCTTTGGCCGCACTTTTCAAATTGCTGTAAAAATCGAGCGTTACCATTGCCAATTCGTAACAAATGAGTATTTCCTGACTATATGCATACACGCGAAGTAACCCGAGTAAAAATAACGTGATTGATAAATACAGCTATTAACCGTTACATTGGGAGATTTGCAAAAGGCTTTTTTTTCAAAAGTATTTGTCGCCGCGATCTTCGTGGTTTGTATAATTACCTGAATGCTTGTCGGGTAACTGACAACGTAGTTCTCGGCGCTCATAAGCACTGCTGGTTTCTAATGTTGTGATGATTTGTGGACACGGGGGTGGGTGCTTAGTGTCGAGCGAACGGCGCGGTATTCACCTCGGCAAAATCGCAAACGGCGCAATGAAAATGTCAAATGCGTTCACAAAGTTTGACGGGGAAACTGATATCGCGACGAGCGTCGTTGTCTTCGGGGGGGCGGGGCGGTGACGTAGCTTAGCGGTTCGAGGTTCGCCCTGGCGAATGCAGCGGCTTGTAACGACCGTAAAAAAATTGCCGTCGGCTTCACAGATGGACGCTAAAGATCTCTTGCGACGGCAACCGAAAATGAGTAGGCAGCACGTGCTGGCGTTGTGGTAAAAAAAAAATCTGCCAAATTTGAAAAAATAAATGTACAGTGCAGTACTCAACAAGTTACTTAACTAGGCGGTGTGGTGGGGGGGGGAAGCTACAGAGCAACATCACCCCCTACTGGTAAATTAATGTCCATGCAGGCCGGCGCTGCTTACATTTTGCAGTACGGAGGGACACGTACCACTAGGGGCCCCCGTAGCTAGACCACAGCGGGTCGTTGAAATTATTGAGATGAGGTGTGACGTAGTCAGATTTGTGCTTAAATCCTCGTCCTGAATGTGAATATCTTATCGTAAACATTTCTACCGTGGCCCCCTCCACCCCACTCCCCTACCTTTCGCAGCGTCGCCTAGTAATCTCCAAACTTTTAATCAGCGAGGAGACGCGATTGTAAAAAAGACAATCGACTTAAAGTAATAACGTAATTTTTTGTAATATTTCAATACCTTTAGTCCCAATAAAGAAAAATATATATAATTAATACAGCACTACTACAGCTTTACTCACTACATTAAAGGGCATTGGAATGATGTAGACCAAACTCCGAACGCGGACTGTGCACGTGTGTTCACACAGAAGGGTCCGGTGGAGGAGTTCAACCGCATGATCAGCTCCTTCCATGGCTTCGTGTCGCCGGTGATGCACGACGACCCCTGGCTGGAGGTCACGGAGGTCACCTGCGAGCGTGACACCCTCCTCGCAAAGGTCAAGGGGGGGTGGCGGTCGACCGGGCCGGCGACACCGACGCATGGTCGCCCCGTGTGGCCCGGCGAGGCCGCGGCCGCAGCGGCCACCATCGAACCGGATCTTCTTGGCTACTTTCACGGCGATCTCCCCGAAAATTCTGCCAAATCTACGGCCAACGCCGACGAAGACGGTTACGACGATCGGCAAAAACACGGTGATGGTGGTGGCGGCGGTGGCTCCGAGGCGATGCGTTCGGCTACCACGCTGCCTGGAGAGTGTTACACGCAGGTGTGGGACGTGAGCCCTGACGGCACGGTGTGCCTGGCCTCTCCCGCCGCCCAAGCCCTACGACCGGCGGCGGCAGTGGCGCGCCCGGCAGCCCCTGCGGCCCACGTCGGCGAATCCGCCGGTTCCAAAGAAATCGCCGAGTCGTCCGCGAGCCGTGGGAGAGACGTGACGGTGTCGCCGACGGGCACAGGGGATTCTCAGCCCCCGCCGTTTGTTCTCGAGCCCCCCGCTCTGGCGATTACCACCACGCCGCCCGCCCGCCTGGGCCCGATGATAGCCAGCGACACGCACGTGCCGCCAACTTCTCCGCCATCTCCTCCTCCCCAGAGCCACCAAGCGGAGGGCTCGTCCCGTCGCTCCGATCCCCACGATGAGCGTGACGCCACCGCCATCGCTGGTGCCTCCTCCTCCTCCCCCCACAACGACGACGACGACGACTGGGAGGACGCGACACCTCTCCCGCCGCCGCCTCCCCCCCACAACTCGTCAGACAGGGCCCCCCTCCGCTCGCCGGACTCGCCGCCCCCGGTGCCGGACTACACGGCGGTCCACGCGGTGGACGCTCACCAGCGCCTGTTCCTGGACGTGCGCAAGGACGTCGTCAAGGGCAACGGGGATGCGCACAAGGGCTACCTCCCGCCGGAGCAGCTGCGAGCGCTGCTGCTGGCGTCAGCCGGGGTGGGGGTCGGGGTGGGGGTCCGGGTCGGGGTGGGCAGCACGCAGGGGTACGTGGGGGAGGAGAGGGCACGCTTCATTCGCTCGTGACTCGCCGGTTGTTTTTTTGCGCGCGCGTTCACAGAGCTGCACACGCGTCCATTGCGCTTGCATTCAAGTGTTCGTTCACGTGCGCCACGTGTAACCCCTTTAAGGGGGGTGGGGGTAGAAGGGGGTGAGAGGGGGGTGTGGTGGGGGGGTGCATGGTTCCCCCCCACCCACCGCCCCCCCTCCCACCATCCATCCGTTTTGCTGCTGTGCGTTTGATTACGAGTTAAGTGTCTCTCCCTGGGTTTGTATGAATGTACAGTCTGTTGATAAAGCTGCGTGTAAATCTTAAACGGGTGTAGAAATCTGACGAGTTGGCTGCAGGAGTCGCTCTCGCCCTTGACCAAATCACCTCGAGTGGGCCCGATCTTGTCAGGCGCCGGGAGCTAAGCGAGGCTGGAGCCTGGATAGCGTTCAGACGGTCGTCCACACACACACGCACGTGCGCACACACGCCGGATGTTGTAGGCAGCTGCAGGACTACATTGTGGACGACAGAGGGCAAGGCAGCAAAAGCCATTGCTGTACCGGTGGTGAGGTATTGGGATGTGTCATGGGACATCCTTTGCCAGTACCAATCAGTTTAGAGTATGTTTTTTGTTTGCATTCTGACCACAAGCATTGTGGTTAATGCAGACATGATTCCTTATAAAAGGTTTCAGTTTGGTGTTTTAACATCTTAACACAGCTGTTTTGTTGCCAGGAAAAAGGGGAAAACCCCTATTATCATATGGGGATGTAATCGTCGATCTATGGATTGACAATAGAGGGTTGTGCATGTACACGTGTACAAGAGTCCCTCCCTACCTCTCTCTCTGCCTCACAACCCATTCAGTACAAACCACTCTCAGAATTTTAATTTAATCTCACACGAGAAGCTCGCGAATATCACGCGCGTGTGTCAAAGACACGTGCGGGAACGTTTCCGAGAACTGCCCGGGAGGGAGAGATATTGGTGTCGCCAAAGGTCGACTTTGTGGAATTCTACTGCGGTGTCTCGTGTTGAAACGTCGCCGAACTTTTTTGCACAGAAGCTGTCGCGTTGACAGCAGCCTCCCAGACACGGCCGACGGTCGTTGGGGATGCCCAGGATAATGGGGATAGTGCCTCCGCGCCTAACGCGGGAATGTACGGTGGTCGTGTTCCAACGGGGGGGGGGGGGGGGGGGGGGGCGGGTGGTGCAGGAGTTCACGGGTTTGGGAGACTTTCGTGGTGCCTTGGGCCAGACGTGAACGGGTGACTTCATTTCGCGCTTTTTTTCCCGTGGCCACGCGGAGCCGGGAAGCGAGCATCCTGACGCTGCTGATCTGGCACCAGAGGAGGGCAATGCCAGCGAGAGAGTGGAATTCCGCGGTTCACGCCGTGGAGTTCTGCGACGGCGTTGTTTTTAGGTTGCGCTCGCTCACGGCAATTTGTCTGTTGAGGATATACGGAGGGGGCGTGGGTGGGTGGGGGGGCTATTTTTGTCTTTGTTGTAACAATGCAACCCGAAAACACGTCCCCGAGAACGAGAAGGGAAATATATTTATATGTTCGACCCGGCAACAGCACCGTGTATCTAATTTTATTTCTCTCGGTGACTTCTGTTACTGCCAGGGCCTTCACTCTTGCAGTGACAGAAGCGACCGAGGCGAGTGTGTTAATGCCCCCCCACCTCCTCCTCCTCCTCCACGTCCACCCCCTAACCCCGCCAAAGGTATTGGAAAGTGCTATTCGGCCCCCCACCCCTGCCTTTACGTGATGGCGCATACAGCCACTGTTTACTGGAAACAAGGAAAATGTGAGGAAGGTGGTCGCGGTTGGGGAGTTGGGGGGGGGGGTCACCTTCAGGAAAATAGCGGAAGAGCTGGGAGGTTGCAATTGTGTGTAACATTGTGTGTATAATTGTGTGTAACATTGTGTGTAACATTGTGCGCTTGCAGACTCTCGCACGCCGTGCCCTCTTCTCGTGTGTGTGTGTTGTGATTTTCGTGGTGGTGGTGGGGGGGGGTTAATTTGTCGTGCGTTGCGCTCACCCCCCTCACCCCCCCCCCGTCGGTGTTGTTGTTGTTGTGTCTGTGCGTCGAGATTTCAGTGCGAGTGGAGATGTGCGGCAGATAATTTTGCTTTCGCGGATGTCGCCACAGATGTGGACATTAGTGGGGGGGGCTATTTTGTTGTCACGGTGACGTTTACTGTGTCTCGTGGTTGCGTCAACGTTTTTATTGTGAACGTTCTGTTGCCTTGTCATCCGTCAAAGAGCTTTGATTGTAACGTAAAGGGGGACGGCGTCTTTACAGAGGAAAGAGTGCAGAGTGATATTTAGATATACATATATTTAGAGATACGCTAAATCGATATTTTGTTTTAATGAAATAAACTAAAAATAGTTTTGTTCACGCGATTGTCTTGTTCATCCGTCGCCTCTCCCTTTGCCACCTCGCGTTGATGACCAACGCTCCCCTGTTGCCACTTTTCATTACCCACTGCTCATTACCCACTGCTCATATCCGAATAAGTGCTGCCGTTAATATTTTAAACTAGCTTTACTACCCGGCTTCGCCCGGGACTTGGATTCGCCACGCCCGGCCGCCTTTGTCTCCCCAGTGGCGATGTTCACACACCACAGCAGTTACTCGTTTGAGGCTGAGTCGACCTAGGGGTGGCCCAGGACCGGTTAAAATAATCGTCACCGGTGGTGGCCGTGAGCGGGAATGGAACTCGGGTCGCCGGGTTCGTAGCGCGGCGCGCTAACCGCTGCACTACAATGCGTTACGCTTCCACGTGCGCGGGTCACATGACAGATGTGACGTCACAGCTCACTTGCCGTGCAAAAAATATATGCATTATTGAGCTCCCCCCCCAAAAAAAACCCCACAAAAGTCATTTTTTAGAATTTTTGCATGGTGTACAGTCTGTAAAGTACCCACATGGCAAATTTCAAGTTTGTTGCATGTCGGGAAGTACGCTAAACATTTTGAACAGACACACATAATCACAACTTTGCCTTTTATATATATGGAGATAAAAGTTGAAGAAACGTTTATGAGAACAGGGACAACATTCGGGTAAGGGGCCGTCCATAAATGACGTCACGCACCTGGGGGGGGGGCAGACATTTGTGACGATGTGTGACGAGGGGGGGGTTTGAGAAATGTGACGTCACATCAAAATGCGCAACTTTAAATAAATATAGACAACACGTTCTACTTAATTAAATAGACTTTTTAATAAATGTTTTCTCCTACAACATCAGAGTGCAGCGCCACTTTAAATCCGCACTACAATGACAATAGTTTAAAGCGATTTGAAGCATGTTTTATTTGGGGGGGGGCAGAGCTTTTTGACGTCATATTTGAGGGGGGGTCTGACTTTTTGTGACGCCGTTTGACGAGGGGGGGGGGTCAAAAATCGCGTGACGTCATTTATGGACGGCCCCTAATCATACGTGGTGTGTGCAAGAGTGATGATGCGCGTGTGTGGTAACACGGGCGACGATGTGGGTTGCACGGATTAGCACAGTTGGCTACGTACGGTGCGAAAGAAGTTCAACATGCATATGAGGTGTGCAAGACGTACGAGGTGGATATAACATCGGTGACGAGGGGGTGCACGCCGATGGGGTGGTATGCAGCTGAGGTGTGGAACAAGAGGTGACGAGGTGTGTGTGTGATGAGGCACTGCCTCGTGTTCTGACGCGTAGGGCACCCGTCTTCCCAAACAAGGCCTCGACTCGCCCTCTGGTGGATATAAGGAACCATTGCAGCCATCATCGAATATTAATCAATCGGTCATACCAGTGATGGTCAATCATCATCATCAGTGTTCAGCAGCAGCAGTAATCATCATGAGCAGTCTTGATCGTCAGTCCTCAATCGCATCAACTCGCAACATCAGCCACCTTTATCAGTCATCGTCAGTCTTCAGAATCGGCACCTTTATTTAGACTGCAGCAGGAGCAATCCGATGGTCTGCGAAGCTCTTTGTCACACGGATGTCCGGCAAGGGGCACGAGGTCAGCGAGCTACAATAGCAAACAATGGAATTCGAGACGAGTGCAAAATAGAGATGAGGGTAAGCAAGTCACTTAAATAAATATAAATACATTAATTATATTAAGTCCGTACTATTTGGTTCTTTCGGTAAAGTCACGGAGGTAGGAAAATAAAATGAAACAAAAAATAAAATATCGCGACGTTTCGATAGCAACACGAGCGGTCGCCCTCAGGCGAAGAAAAAAACAATCCAGCAGTTCTACTGCTGATTAAAACTTATCAGCAGTGGAATCAGCAAAACAATCCAGCAGTTCCACTGCTGATTAAAATTATCAGCAGTGGAATCAGCAAAACAATCCAGCAGTTGCACTGCTGATTAAAAATAATCACCAGTGGAATCAGCAAAACAACCCAGCAGTCGAACTGCTGATTAAAAAGTATCAGCAGTGAAATCAGAAAAAACAATCCAGCAGTGGAACTTCTGGAATGTTTTTCTGATTCCACTGCTGATTAAAAATAATCAGCAGTGGAATCAGCAAAACAATCCAGCAGTTCTACTGCTGATTAAAAATTATCAGCAGTGGAATCAGCAAAACAATCCAGCAGTCGAACTGCTGATTAAAAATAATCAGCAGTGGAATCAGCAAAACAATCCAGCAATGGAACTGCTGATTAAAAATAATCAGCAGTGGAATCAGCAAAACAACCCAGCAGTTACACTGCTGATTAAAAATTATCAGCAGTGGAATCAGCAAAATAATCAGCAGTTACACTGCTGGATTATTTTTTCCGCCTGAGGATGACAGCTTGTGCTGCGATCGAAACGTCGCGATATATTTTTTTTTTCTACCTACGTGACTTTACCGAAAGAACCAAAGAGTATGGATTCCTGCAGAACACGAAAGCTTCAAATCAAGATAAGTCCGATTTATCCAAGCTTGGGCAAGGCAGCAAAACAACATCTAAACAGACCACACCAAGATAACGCCACACAGATGTAGTCCCTCGATACAATCGCACATTAACATTGAACTATCGATACACAGGTAAGTATCAAAGTTACAAATCATATTTGCAAATGTAACCGTATCCATCAGCAGCGGCAGTATTCAAGAACATTAGTCTTCAACATCATCAGTCATCAGCCTTCATCGTCAGGCATCATTCTTCATCAGTCATCATCAGCAGCGGCAGTCTGCAACATCAGCCATCGTAGGTCATCAGTTTCCATCATTCATCAGCCCATCATCAATCTTCATTCATCAGTCTTCATCACCAGCAGCAGTTGCCATCTGATCCAGCCACTGCCTCCCATTATTCACTTCAGAATTAGAATATGTATTTAGACTGCAGGAGGACTCCGATTAGCTATAAAGCCATTTTTACATATCTCCAGCAGGGGAGGGTAAGAAGGTTACAATAACAAACAGCACAAAAACATGATGGTAGTGCTCATCAAGATCATCACCAACACCACCCATAGTCCAGATCTCTCTGCAGGTCAACTCTCTTCTGTACAGGAAGGTGGGGGGAGGGCAATTCCACAAACTGGGCAACCACCCAGGAAGATCCAAATCTATCTCGCCACGGTGGCTCTGAGATGTTAACTACCTCGCCTAGGTATACAGGAGGTTATGGGTTCCATTCCGACCCTGACACCTGCTGCTGCTATATATTTGGAGTTTGCATGTTTTCCCCGTGGTCGTGTGGATTTTTCTCCGAGTTCTCCAGTTTTTCGCTCCACGTTTAGAATCAACGTAACGCGTTTAGAGTATTTGGCTGCTCTAAATGTCCACGCGATAAGCCACTCCGTCCAGCTATCATTTGTGGCCAGACCGCTTCTGCAAAAATAGCTATACAGCTCATCGGGCTTTAAAATAAAAAATATAGACTTTATTTGAAGCTTTCGTAACTGCAGGGATTACTCTTTGGTTTTTTCGGTAAAGTCACGTATAAATAATGCTCCATGCATACCTCATGCTAATTTTGTCCCATTGTCACTCAGCCTTACCTTCTCTGCCTATTTAAGGCAACTTTACTGTGTGCTTGTCTCTGTGCTGGCTCGCTCTACTTGGTTGTCTGTGTGTGTGTGTGCGGTCTGTATTTTGAGTTTCATACTTAACTTGCAATTTAGCAATCTTTTGATATAGCGTGATCAACCGGACTATGCGTTAATTGTGTTTTGACCGACCGTCTGTGTTGCTTTACATGGTTTCCAAAATTTTTGCTAAACCCTGTTTGTCTGGTATGCTTCTCTCTCTGTGTCCCTTGTTGTAACTGTGTCAGTTCCCCCTACTTGGGTGTCTGTATATACATCTGAGGTTATGTGTCTCCCCTCTCTCATAATTTAGCTCTTCTGTACCTGATGATGGCTGCTTGTGTTGCAACCGAAACGTCGTACGCTATTATGTTATTTTATTATTTCTTATTTATACGTGACTTTACCGAAAAAAACAAAGAATAAAAAAATAGTTTAGTTTTGATAGTTTAACAATACATGTGTTGGTTATTCACCTCCTTCAGACACAAAAGGCCACGTGATTTTTAACACATCCCATCAGCTGCACGGCCTTCTGTGAGTGCATGATTCCAGCAAACATTGGTTCACAACACAAAGGGGGAAAAACAATCTAGACCCGTTTCGACATTCAAGTGTCGCACCAGCAGGCAGGCTCGCTTCAACCAATCCTGGTGATGACACCCACAGACGTTTTACAGGCATGGAGAGCCCTCTCTGTTCTAGTTCCACACACAGCACAGATTAATAGTTGGCGTCCTCGTGGAGAATACCGTATAAAGAACAATATATTGCCGCGTTGAAGCGTTAGTGTGTACGTTGGTATAAACCAAGTTTGACACGTGTGACTGAATGCATTGTGCTTTACATGTGCCATTCACATGTACGGTCTTGTTGAATCGTGTCAGCTGATCTTGAATTGTTCTTTAGGCTTTTGGCAGTGTCAAATGGGCTGTGTAGTAGGGGACAGCATTTGGGTGCTATATTGTTTTGTTTCGTATTTGTTTCACTTTCACGGGAAGGCCAAAAATAAACATGACGAGATTTTTCTTCATTCGAACAACGTCTTTTCAGAGGTCACTCACAACAGCTCCACCTGGTGGACATGTTACGAACCGCCACGATTTGTGTGGTAGTGTGCATGTGTATCTATATGTGATGTGCACGTGCTATGTTCATAACACACATGCTCTGCACAAAGATCCCCCAGGTATGCCTTAACAGACTGTAGGGGCAAGTGCTGTTAGCGAGGCACCTATGAAGGCTGGCACGGCACACACGAGGGGGGGTGGTAGGCGGCCAGCAACCAGGCCCGACCGCCTTCGTCTCCCCAAGTGGTGTTCACAAATCGCACCAGGTACTCATTAGAGGCCCACGACTGATATTTGGCCGTGAGCGGGAATCGAACTCGGGTTCGCCGGGTTTGTAGCGCAGCGCGCTAACCACTACACGACCGCCGCCCCGTACACTACAAACACACGCGTATAGCCAGTGCACTACACATGTACATTGTGCTGTATGTAGTGTACATGCTATGTTCACAGTACATATGCCATGTTCACACACGTGTATAGGCAGTGCCCGACACAGAATGTGTGTTGTGCTGTATGTAGTGTACATGCTGTGTTCACAATACACATGCCATGATCACAGAGGAAGAGTTGGAGACGCTGCTGCTGAGACTGGAGCGTGCCACTAAGAGATGGGGCCTTACCATCAGCCCCACCAAAACTAAGCACCTGCCTGGGTATTTTGTACCATCAGACACTCCACCCCCACAATTCCCAATCGGTGATGGGGCAGTTGTGGAGAGAGTGAAGAGTTTCCCATACCTGGGCAGTGTGCTCATGACCGGCTCCAGTTTAACAGCAGAGGTCTCACTCTGAATCAGTCGAGCGGCAATATCTTTTCATCGGTTGCCTAACGCTGTGTGGAAGCTACCTGGTCTGTCGCTCCGCACTAAGCTTCAGGTCTTCTCGGCCACGGTCATTCCCTCCCTTCTCTACGCTTCCGAAACGTGGACCCCCCTGATGGAACATCTTCGCCGGTCAGAAACATTTAGGCTGGCCTGCCTACGATCCATCCTGGGTTTAACCAGACTGGATTGTGTGAGGAGCTCACAAATCCTTGAAAGATCTGGGCAAGGTCCCATCGGTGAGCTCCGGTGGGCAAGGCTGCGTTGGCTGGGTCATGTAGTCCGCATGCCCAGACACCGCATGCCGAAACAGCTTTTGTTCAGCCGGATTGAGGGGGCTAAGCGGGTGCGGCACGGGCTAGAGAAGAGATGGAGTGATGTGGTACAGGAGGACGTGGAGCTGAGTGGACTTGCCGATGACTGGTACCAGCGGTGTCAAGATCGGACTCTGTGGAGGAGGCTCGTGAAGGACGCTACTGGGCAGTTGGAGGCAGTCGCCCTCCAACAACAACGGAGGGCGGAGGAGCGACGCTCACAACAACGAGCGGAGCGCCGGGTGGCTAAAGCACAGCAGGTTGGCACAGTAAGGGGGCACAGGTGGTGCATCAGCCAGTCATCTCAGTCATCTCAGTCAGTCGACCCTTGGCACCTGGGTCTGCCCCGTGACCTCCTGCCAGTGGGCGTTCGACGCTTCACGTGGCCTCAAGGTGCACATGGCCTGGCACAAGCGTCGTGGTGACGTCACCGCCACTTCGTTGTTGTACACTACATGTGTGTACTGTACTGCTGTCACAAGCCACGCCCCCTCTTCCCCTCCGCAGCCCCTCCCCCACTCTCCGCCTCCCCCGCCCCTCCCCCACCCCCTTCTTCACCTCCTCCACCCCCTCCCCCCTCCAAATCCACAGCCCCTCCCCCACATCCACCCACGACCCCCGCCAACGAGCAACTGCGCAGCCGCGCGCGCGTGCGCGCGCACCCCTCGCCAGCCAATGGGCGCGCGCCGCCTGACAGCCCGTCACGCCGGTCGCCCCTGACGACGGGGTCCTTGGGCTGGTTGGAGGGGGAGAGGTGTCCAGCGCGGCTGCCTGTCGGCGCGGCCAGCCAGCATGTACGCCAAGGGGAAGGGCGCTGTTGTTCCTTCGGACGCCCAGGCGCGGGAGAAGTGAGTCCGTGGCGCCGCGGCGAGGCGCCGGTTCGAGCGGCGGAGTGTGCGGAGCGAGCGACGATGTGGCCGGGCTGAGGATGGAGGGGGAGAGAGAGAGAGCGAGAGCGGGGGAGGAAGAGACGGGGAGGAGGAGGGGAGGCGCTGAAGCCATGGCGCCCAGGCTGGAGGCCCGAGCATGGCGGCCGCGGTGGTGATGGTGGTGGTGATGATTGTTGTGATGTTGGTTGGTGGTGGTGGTGTTTGAAGGTGATGGGGAGTGATGGTGGTGGTTGATTATGGTTATTGTGCTGACGGTTGTGATGATGATAGTGGTGGTGATGATACTGGTGGTGATGGCTCGGATGGTGGTGGTGGTGGTATTCATGGTAGTAGTGATGGTGGTAGTGGTGGTAGTAGTGATGATGGAAGTGGTGATTGTAATCGTGGTAGTAGTAATGGTGGTGGTGATCGTGGTAGTGTTCAAGGTGGTGATCGTGAAATTAGTGGGAGTGGTGGCAGTGGCGGTAGTGAAAATGGTAGTCGTGGTATTTGCTGATGGTTTTTCTGGTGGTGGTGGTGATGGTGGGTGGTTGTGATGGCTTTAGTGGAGTGAAAGTGGTGATAGAACTAGTGATGGCGGTTATGATGGTGATAGTTATGGTGGTGGTCGTGATTAGTGGTAAAGATGGTGATAGTGCTGGTTCTGGTTTTAGTGGTGATGGTTTTGTTGGTGGCTTCTGTGGTGATAGTTGAGGCTTTGTTGGTGGTGATGGCCTGGGTTATGGTATTGGTGGTAGTGGTAATGGGGATGTTTAAAGTAATTCTGATGGTTATAGTTACGACGGTGATTTTTAAGATTTTGGTGGTAGTGGTTATGATTATAGTGGTGGTTTGGGTTTTTAGTGATAGTTGTTGACTTATGGTGGTAGTTGGTTTATAGTTGTGTGATTGTGATGCTAGTTATGGTTGTAGTTATATGGTTAGCAATTATATGGTTATATTCGTTGTAGTAGTTACAATAGTGGTGGTGATTTGCGTTGTGGTAATGTTAGAATGGTGGTGTTTTTGGTGGTAAGGGTTGTACCGGTGGTAGAGTGGTGGTGATGGTTATGATGATAGTGGTTGTGGTGGTTATTATCGTGGTGATGGTGTTGTCTAGGGTCTTAATTGCGGTTGGGTTATTATAGGGGTTAGTGTGGTGGTGTTATTGGTGTGGTGGTAGGGTGGTGCTGTTCGTGTTGTTTACGGTTGTAGTAGTGGTAGGGTTGAGGTGGTATTATTGTTCAGGGTTGTGGCGGCAGAGTTTATGGTGGTGGCAGCGTTTGATGCTTCGTGGTGGTGGCGTTATTTAGGGTTGTGGTGGAGGTGATGGTGGTGTTGATCGGTTGCAGTGGTAGAATGTAGTGGCGTTGTTGATAGTGGTGCTTATATTTGTATCAGTGTCATATTTTTTGAAAGAAGGAAGGTTGGGCAGAGTGAGTGGTGGTTAAGATTTGTGACACCAATGATTGTTGTGGTGGTTGTTGGCGGTGTTGCTATTGCTCTGTGGATGTAGCGGTTCATGTTGGCCAGCAGAGGTGATTACGGTCAGGATCTTCGAGGCTTGCAGCGATGGTGTTTCTTTGGCTGTAGTTTTGTGTGACTGTCCCCTATCGCCCGTGCCGTGGTGTGATTTGGCTGGCTGTATAAGTACTGTAATAATGATTAATTCACGCAGTATTTCACGAACACGCGGGGAGGCCCCCAAGCTTCGGTTGCTTTTCGTGTTGCGTTCAGTAGTCGCAGGTTTTTATTTTTTGTTGGGTCGAGACCACCACACGTTGTGTCCTCGGCTCTGTTGTGTGTCGGCGTTTTGTGTCCTCGGCTCTGTCGGCGTTTTGTGTCCTCGGCTCTGTTGTGTGTCGGCGTTTTGTGTCCTCGGCTCTGTCGGCGTTTTGTGTCCTCGGCTCTGTTATGTGTCGGCGTTTTGTGTCCTCGGCTCTGTCGGCATTTTGTGTCCTAGGCTCTGTTGTGTGTCGGCGTTTTGTGTCCTCGGCTCTGTCGGCGTTTTGTGTCCTCGGCTCTGTTGTGTCTCGGCGTTTTGTGTCCTCGGTTCTGTCGGCGTTTTGTGTCCTCGGCTCTGTTGTGTGTCGGCGTTTTGTGTCCTCGGCTCTGTCGGCATTTTGTGTCCTAGGCTCTGTTGTGTGTCGGCGTTTTGTGTCCTCGGCTGTGTTGTGTGTCGGCGTTTTGTGTCCTAGGCTCTGGGCGTTTTGTGTCCTCGGCTCCGTTTTGTGTGTCGGCGTTTTGTGTCGGCGTCTCTGTTGTGTCGGCGTTGTGTCCTCGGATTTGTGTCGGCGTTTTGTGTCCTCGGCTCTGTTGTTGTGTCGGCGTTTTGTGTCCTATGCTCTGTTGTGTGTCGGCGTTTTGTGTCCTAGGCTCTGTTGTGTGTCGGCGTTTTGTGCCTTAGCTCTGTTGTGTGTCGGTGCTATGAATGTGTTTGGATGTGTTATACATGTTGTGCGTTTTGTTGTTGTTGTAGTTTGTGTGCTGCATCGTCGTTCGCGGTTACGTAAGATTCAAGGTTAGGATTGTATTTCAAATGGTACCGTTGTGTTGTTAAGCGTTAGGATTGCATTGGGCATGCGCGTGTTAAGGGGTGTATACATTGTGTTGGATACTCTGTTGTGTTATGCTTAGGACTGCATTGTGTATGCGACTGTTAGGGCTTACAACTGCATTGTGTGTTAGAGAGCGTTGTGTTATCGTCGGGATTACGGGTGCATCGTGTACGGTGTTGTGTTAGGGTTAGGCCCGCATTGTGTAACAAAGTGTTAGGACTGCGTTGTGTATGATTCGTGTGTTGTACAGTGCTTGTGTCGCAGTTTATCTGCAGGGTTAAGGTTTTGTGTTGCATCATTTTGGATGCATTGTGTATGAGGCTGTGTTCGAATTATGGCTCTGTATTGCATACGATAATGTTGTGTTGCAGATAGGGTAGGAGTTTTGTATGATATTGTGTTAGCGTTAGGGCCCGCATTGTTAGGCCTGCGTTGTGTATGATTAGTATGTTCTACAGTGTTAATGTCGCAGTTCACATGCAGGGTTCAGGGCTTTGTTGTTGCACGATTTTGGCTGCATTGTGGTATGAGGCTGTGTCGGGGTAGGGTTAGAAAATGTGTTGCACTGTCCTATCTTGATTTGTAACGTTCTGGTCTGTAGTAGTGTTAGGGCCGGCGCTGTGTTGTGTCGGATAGTATTGGGGTTAGTGCTGTGTAGTGTATTGTTAGGTTTAGGCCTGTGCTGTGTGCGCTATTGTTGGGGTCCAGGGCTGTGGTTTTTGTTGTTGGTGGTGTATTGTTCTGGTTATAGGGCCATTGTCGTGTTGGTTTAGTGTTCGGGATCCGCCTGTGTGTGGTGTAGTCTTCAGGGCTGTGTGTGTGTTGTTTAGTGCTAGGGGCTGTGTTGTGCACGCCGGATCCCGGACCGTGCTGTGATTGCCTTAGTGATCGCGTTTTGTGGTGTAAGGTTAAGGTTACGCGATGATGGAGCAGCGTTGCGACGAATTCGCGGCTGTGCTGGCGTTTTGGCCGGGCCCTTTTGGCTCTGTGCGTTGCGAGACCTATGACTGTGCTTTGTTGAGCTCTCCGTTGTAACGGCTCCGGCTGCGTGTTTTGGTGTGAGCCGCCGTGCGTGCATTGTGTGGCTCCGGCTGTCCCGCCCCGTGCGTTGTTTTGAGGCCTGGCTTCTTCCTGCTGTATGGAATATTGAATGAGCTGGGGAGCTATAAATCGATTTATAGGTTGTTGTAAATCCAGCTGCTGGCTCCGGAGGACGACGGGCGTGAATCCCCCGACTCGTGACGGCAAATAAGCGTCATCGCCATCGCTCCGATGCGTCTATCCGTTCCGACCGCCCCTTGGTTCGGCACGGTGTCCGACGTTTCGCTCTCCGGCGTTTGTCGCGCAGCACGCAGAAGCAGAGACGGTCGGGGCGCCGTGCGGGAACCCGGCGCGTGGCGGCACAACCCGAAAACGCAGTCGCAGAGAGCCGCGCGGCTCACGAGCCGCGAAAGCCCACGCGGTGTGGCACAGCAATTGCGTGTATATGTGTACGTACGTACGTCGGCACTCAGTGTACGAGTATCTGATGCACGTGAGTGCACAGAGGGGAGCGGCAGCGTAACGGGGTTAGCGCGCTACGAACCCGGCGACCCGAGTTCGATTCCCGCTCGCGCCGAACACCGGTGACGATTATCTGAACCGGTCCTGGGCCTCCCGTAGGTCGACTGAGCCTCAGTTGAGTACCTGGTGCGGCGTGTAAGCATCGCTACTGGGGAGACAAAGGCGGCCGTGCGTTGTGCTGACAACCCACCGCCTCGTGTGCCGTACTGGCCTTAATAGGTGCGCGGTAACAGGAATTGCTCCTACAGTCTGTTAAGGCTATACGGGGGACCTTTGTCTATGTCTTTGCAGGTTGGCACTCTATGTGTACGAGTATCTGCTGCACGTGGGTGCACAGAAGGCGGCACAGACCTTCCTGTCCGAGGTGAGAGCCCCCCCTCCCATTTCCTCACCCCCCCCTTCTCCCCCTACCATATTTCACCATTTTTCTGTGAGCTATTGCCGTCCGTAGCGGGTAGGTTCCTGCGTTTCGCCAGTAATCAACGCCAACCCCCCCCCCCACCCACAGTCGAGGCTGCAGTGCGGTGGAGTGAATGACTGGGGTTGTTAACTTGGGTCATTTAGCGTTATCGATAATCGCATGCAAATTGACGACAAATTGATTGTCGCTTTTGCCGCACAGCGTCCAGTAACTAGAGAAGATTGCGCACGAGGGGCTCAGAATAACCGTGGGCGAAGTGAAAGGTTTTGTGCGAGAAAACAATCGTAGATGTCCTTCGGAGGGGGGCACAAACGGAAAACACAGCAGAGCGTGACAATCCAGGGCAAAATTTAAAACGGACCAAGGATCAAAATAATGAGTTAAAGATTTGCACGGGAGGTGGACGGGAGTCATTTTGGAAAGTTGAACTTAATAATGAAATGCATCATACCAATGTGGCCAAAGAAAAAAACCTCCTTTTTAATCGGCGCTTACCACCAAATATGCACGGAGAGATGTATGCGCGCAATTACGTTGATTGAGACAAAATGAAACGCATGGCATCATTTTTATTAAGAAAGTCAAAATCTTGATCATAATTTTTATTTAGATGGGAGGAAGTAGGAGGGGCTTGTAGAGAAGACATCTCCAATTAGGAGACAGATCCGATTAGCACGGTTGGCTACGTACGATGCGAAAGAAGTTCAACAAAGAAACATGCAGACAGGAGGAGCGATCACCGGTGGTGGGCAAGCGTAACATCAGAGTAACAGCCAAAAGGAGGGAATTAGCACCCGCGATACAGTGTCGTCTGCGGACATGCGAGCGATGAAATCAGCTGCGTGTACGCGGAGACGCTAAGTGGATTGCTGCGTCGTAGGGACCGCGAGAGTGGGCGACGGCTTGGGGGAGAGGCCAGGGCTAAATTCCAGCTGGGTATGTGCGGGTCAGCGACCCCCCCCCCCCACTCCACCCCAGCACACCACATCTAGTAAATCGCGCCCCTCGGTGTGTGTGGTCACTAGCAAAGGCGGTCGGGCGTGGTGCTGCCCACCCACCCCGTCGTGCACCGTGCCGGCCTTCATAGGTGCTACTCGCTAACGGCACTTGCCCCAATGGTCTGTTAAAGACTATACGGGTGATCTTTGTCTTCGTGGTTACGAGTCAACGTGCCTACTCCAGGCTTCCAGCAACTAGGAAATTTTGCATTGAGAAATTATGTCTTGAGGGCGATGGGGGGAGGGGGTGGCAGGCCTCTATCCAGCAGTGAAGTGAACATGGCTGATGATGACTATGATGAATGTTAAGATGTATGCGTGTGCGTTGGGGACCGCTGGCGCAGTGGTTGGCGCAACTGCGCTATGAACCCAGCGACTCGAGTTTGATTCTCGCTCACGGCCATCACCGGTAACAAATATCTGAACTGGAGTTGGGCCTCCCTTGGGTCGATTCGGCTATAAATGAGTACCTGGTACAGTGTCTAAACATTGCCTCTAGGGAGACAAGGGCGGCTGGGCGTGGTGCTCTCCAACCCACAACCGCGTGTGCCGTGCCGGCCTTCATAGTTGCTCGCTCACAACACTCGCCCCAACAGTCTGTTCACGGCTACGCGTTGGGGGATCTTTGTCTTTGTGTGCGTGTGACAGATCCGATGGGAAAAGAACATAACTCTGGGTGAACCGCCGGGGTTCCTACACTCTTGGTGGTGGTGAGTGCAGCACAGACACAGCCAGAGCAGGCGGCCGCGATGCACGTGCCCCCCGCTTTGGCTTGGAACAAAGGGAGCCCCCCCCCTTCCTTCATAGCTGGCAGTGCCGTGCGCGCTGCGCGTGTGAATGCTTTTGGCGACGGAGTTGTGAAAAGGACCCAAAGCCGGTGCCCTGTGACCCCTGACGGTAGCTGGCAGATGGACTTGGTGGGGGGGGTGGGGAGGAAGAGACGTCTCGCCACAATTGAGGATGTTTTCTGGTTGTCTTCCCGTTGGTGTAAATTGTTTTGCATTTTAAATTAAACCAATGTCTGCAACTGACGAGAGAACCGAACGCAAACGTGAAGATGGATGAGGCCGAGAGCTTTCGCATGTGTGGTGTGTGTTTGTTAAATTCTGCGTGCGTTTAACGTGGGTTTTGAACACTGCACAAAGCCGGCCCACCAGTAGTGATACCTGAGTTCAATCTCTATCTGGGTGTTTATTTGGACTCCTGTTATTTAGTATCAATACAAACAACCATCTGAGTGATGATGGATTGAATATTAATGTCACGTTTATTTACACAGGAAATCCACGTAGACTCTCAAGACAGTCTTTCAGGAGGGTACTGGGATTTTTCACCAATTCCATTCAGTGTTTAGCTTTTTTGAGGAAACCGGAGGACCCGGAAAAAACCCCACCACGCCATGCCACATCCAGGCCACCTTATGAAGCTACCATGCCATGCTACCTTACAAAATCACCATGCCATGCCACCTTACAAAACCACCAAGCTATGCCACATCCATGCCACCTGACAAAAGCACCATGCCATGCCACCTCCAGGCCACCTTACAAAACCACCATGTCATGCCACCTTACAAAACCACCATGTCATGGCACCTTACAAAACCTCCATGCCATGCCACATCCAGGCCATCTTACAAAACCACGCCATACCACCTGACAAAGCCGCCATGCCGTGCCACATCCAGGCCACCTTACAAAACCACCACACCTTGCCACCTTACAAAACCACCATGCCATGCCACCTTACAAAACCCACCACACCATGCCACCTTACCAAACCACCACGCCATGCCACCTTACAAAACCACCATGCCATACCAACTTACAATACTACCACGCCATGCCACCTCCAGGCCACCTTACAAAAACCCCGGTGGGCGCCAAGCCCTGCCTGGCTCCACCCGCGATGATCATCCAAGACGCAACGACATTGGCCTTCACAGGCCAATTGCACCTCCGATTAGAACGGTTGGCCGTGCGAAAGAAGTTCAAAATACATGCACACATACGTACACAGAATCTCACTGCCCCACATTTGCTGCCGGCCTCAGCTGTTGGCTGGCGCACAGTGTTCGTGGCACGTGTCCTTTTGTACCATGAATTATTGCAGCAATGTATATGACATGTCGTTTCCATCCTTTGCCGTAATGGGACACATGCTATGAAATTAACGTTCAGATTGCTATTTCACCGGTGCCTGCAGGTGAAACCCTGTGTAACGTTTAAGTAGGCTAGTCTGGCACGGCCTAAAGCAGTCGTCTTTACGGCATTCCTGTGAAACTTATTCCGCCTGGTTTAGCCAGGAGCGCCTCATTGACTCTCTAATCACTTATTTAGGGAGGGCTCTGCCAAGTTTTATCAGTAGGAGATGCCGTTGCTTCTGTGCATAATCCCAAATGAGTAACTTGCAGGTATTTTTTTTTGCACGGGGATGTTTGGCCAATACCAGTTAGCTTGTTTCCTGCAACTTATAAAATGTCACGGTATGGCAGGGCTGTCCTGTACGCACATCTGCGCTATGACGTCACACCCCCATATCCCACAGAGCTGAGTCGGGGTCGTGGTTCGCATGCTGGGCTGACGCTACTCCCCCTCCACCCACCTCCCCTCCACCCCGGCTATGTATCCCGTGCAAATAAGCGGGCGGTGCTAGTTGGGTAAAAAGATGCAAAGCATTTAAAGAAGGAAAGTGGCACTTGACCTGTGGTTGCTCGCAACCCTGTGCTTGGCGTATGGCTGTCTGACCCCACCCCCCCGCCCCCTCGTGACGTCACGTTGTGACCTCCCCCCACCCTCCCGTGGCATTGTCTCGTTGTGACACCCCCACGACGGTGTTGTGTCGTTCTGACGGCTCTCTCCCCCCCCCCCCCCCACCGTGGCGTTGTCTGATGACCGCGCAGCGTTTTCTGGGACCTTTACTGCGCCGCGCCCGAACGCAGGGAGACATGCGAGCACTCGAGCGAGGCGAAGGCCTTCCACGACTACGTGAGGACGACCACGCGGCCACCACGCACGCACACACACACAAGCGCACCAGTGTTGCTGCCATGTGGCAATACGTACAATGCATATTTTCGTTAACGCGTGGGTTTTTGCCGGACAGCCCGATGATTCAAAATGTGTGGGTTAGGACTACGTTAAGACCCTTCACCCCCCCCCCCCCCCACCGACAACGCAGCCAAACAAGTGAAGTCGGGCGTACAAGTGTTTTGATTGCGCTAATTATCACTCATTGTTTCAGCTCAGCTCGGTTCTAATTGGTTCTGCCCACCAGTTCTAATTGACGCAGACCACCGGTTTTATTCCGTCTCGGTGCAGTTTCGAGCGGAACGTCGTGTATCCATACCTGTCAATCCCTTATCAGTGCCCTAGCTTATTACAGTCCAATTCAGATTTTTTTGGTCAGCCTGTGCCCTGATAAATCTCAAAATTCATCCTACAAAGTCCCATCGCAAGGGAGAAACAGAAACAAAAAAAAAATCCGTATTGAAACGGCTGTACGCCGTATGGACCTGAACTCAATTTCCCTCTGCAAGAATACGGGGTAAACCGTATGGGTTGACACGGTGTGTATCTCGGTGCTAAACTTTGTCGCGCCAAATTGTCATTATGCGCGTTCCCAGTTGATTGACATCATTGCGGGTGGTGATACGTCACATTTGGACCCATGACTCCAGCACGCAACGGCTACACGGTGGCAAATGACGCCACTGGGTCTTTTTAACGTCCGCCGAAAAGCGGACAACAGTGGCTGCGGTGCGTCGTATTGTTGTCGCTACGACTACGGCTATCGCGCACTCGAGTGTGTTTAAAAATTGAGGGAGCGGCCGCCGGTTTCGAATCATGAACTTCTTGCTACAAATGGTGAACGCGCACTACCTTTGGGCTGCGTCACCGCCCCCGTGTCCACCGTATTGAGGATTGGAGCAAAGGAGATGCAATGGGAAGGGCTACGGAGACTTGCACCAAGACCCGTAGACTCGCACAGAGGCGCACAGAACCGAGCAGAGACCCGTAGACTCGCGTAGAGATCCACAGACTTGCGCAGAGACCCATAGACTCGGCACAGAGAGAAGAAACGTGCTTGTATATGAAGCAATGGAAATAACAGCCTGTGAATTCGCCAAATTTCTATCAGAGTTGAAATATATGGGTTTTGTTAAGAGAACCGATTTAGCGGGGAACCACCCCTGAATGAACCCAGCAGTTGGAGGATGCTGTATACACGCGCACAGCGTCGCCCGGATCAACGCAAACTGTTTCCGTATGTGCACTGTCGTTTCCAGACGGCAGCAGCTGCCGCCAGCCCCGTGCTGGGAAATCTCCCGCCGGGAGACGGAATTCCCCCAGGATTTTACCAGGTGAGTCACCTGCCCTTCTGCACACCAAGGATATTCGCAGAATACGGGGAGGGGGGGGTGGGTACGAGTGAATGATTATTTGCTTTTCTCAATTCGATTCTGTTTCTTAACGACGGTAATTTACGTCTCGTACAGGGCTTACAGTTATCCGTGAGTGAAGTGCAAGAATTAGGTTGCAGTAAAAAATATATAAACGACGATTCGTGTCGACGAATGGCGATCCTTGCGCCCGACGGCGGGCGTGTTGAAACGCCGCGCGTGAGAACCGGCGTGGGTTTTTTCTGTGATGAGCACGAAGCCAATCGTGCCAGCAGTACTCATCCACTGCTGGATGTGGGCCTCCACGCTTCGCGTGGGGGTGGGCGGCGGGGGGGGGGGTCGGGGGGGGCTATTTCACCGTGACTCCGAGGTGCGGAGCCAAGCTCGGTGTCGCCGGAAAGTCGGGCGAAAGAAGTGGGGGAAGGGCCCTTTAAGGAAGAGGTGGGCTATTAAAAGTCAGTGTAGATTTGAATGCTGTGAATGTGCAAGCGTGGTGACGTTCCAGATAGCCGGGGGGAGGGGGGGGGCTGCTACGGAGAAATGACGCCCGGCGGTGCCGTTTCCGAATTTGGCAAAGCGTTGACCAAGACGCCGGCACGCGGTGGCCTGCTCTTGCGTAAGACGCCATGGGGCTTTTGTACGTCCGCCTGCCCTGAAACAGGCAGCGTGTGTCGCGGTTAATAGACCCGCGGCATTCCTCACCGCGCGGGTTTGGCGAAGGCGGGGAGCGTGGACGATGCAGCGTGGCGCATCGCAGCGATGGATTTGCTCGCCCCTCTCCCCTGCTGACAACGTAACCGCTGGCCGAATCACCCCGGAACGCGCCCGATCCGATTCTGCCGGCTGTCGAAAGCCAAGCGTTGTCGAGCCTGGCGAGCTCGTGATTGGGGCGAGCACTGCGCGCGTGAGAATAACGTAGGCAGTGGCGGCTGTGCTACGTGATGCTCGGCTTGGACGCAAGTGCAGTGAAATCTGTTGTTGTACCGTGCTTCTATGCCCCCCCCAAACCACATTCACCAGCATGGTTTAAGTATGGTAACAATAGATAATTCCAGCCTTAATTACCAGGTGTAGGGGGCCCCGAGTCTCCAATCGCGTTGGGGCGCCCTCTAATACTCGGGCAGGATGTCGAGTGCCACTAATGGCCCCGTATTTAGGGTTTGCTCTGCTGGTGGAACGCAACACTTCCTGTTTGTTTTTACATTTTCCAAAGACCTCGTGTCGGGGGGGGGGTTAGCGGTTGGTGGTGGTGGTGGTGGTGGTGGCGGGGGTGGAGGGTGGGAAGGGAGGGCGCGTGCACTGCTGCGAGTGAACAGGCTGCGAGCGTGTGGCTTGCCGCACTCCCACACGCAGGAGTGGGGGCACGGTTGCCTTGCGGTCGCAATCGCCGATGATCAAGATTTGGTGCCAGCGCCGAAATTGTAACGGCGAGAAAAGCGCACGAGCGTTGATGTCCGAGCGTTTTGTTTTTTTTTTGCTCGAGCTTCGCCCCCTGGCCAAACCTCCCCGGCGGCGCGCCCCGGTCCCGTCAGGTCTCAAGCCAAGCAGAACGCTGAGCCTGGATGGTGCTTGGATGGGGCGGCCCGCCGTGCACCAAGCAGGGTTCTCGTAGTTGGGCTCCTTGGGGCTACGTGCTGGGCGGCCAGAGGGCAGTGCGGCAAGAGCCGTCCTTGCGCCGTAGTTCTACGCTGCGTTGTCTACGCTCCCTCGCCTTCACCCGAACCGCGCTGACCGGCGTGGCGAAGTATGGTCGAGCCCCCCAAAACCCCCCGCGGCCCCACGACTCCACGCAAACGTGGGGAAGCCGTCGTCCAGCAGTGGAATGAGGGTAGTGGACGTGACGAGAGGGAGCGCGGGATGCAAGCAAATGGAGAAAGAGGATCGTGAGCTGCTGACCCTATAAAAGAGTAGTGGACTTTTTGGCTTTTTAGAATGAAGTCTCCAGGCGTCTTCCAATGTCTCTGGGTTTCTATTCAAGTCTATGGGTCACATAGTCTATGGCTCATGTAAAGTGTATCCGACCGAGTCTTAGGGTTGATATGCAAGTCTTTGGACCTTGTGTTGAACCAATTCAGCGGAAATTATGCACTACCTGAAGACCGTATGGTTGACGGGATGTGTAAACGTATTTTTTGTTATGCGAAGGGACGGGTAACAGTTGAAGGAGGGCATGTTTTCTTCTGCTTATTTATTGAGGTATATTCTCCAGGACTGCTCGAATAACTATTTTGTTCCTTTGCGTGCCGCTCAGGAAATGTATTTTGGGCGAACGAGGGGATGTGGGTGTCGAGCGGCAAGGTGGAGTGTGGAGTGGTTGTAGCGCAGGGAGGCGGCGGCGGTGGTGGTGGAGGCAGTTGTAGTGGCGGCTGCGACGGCTGTGGTGGTGGTTGTCGTTGCGCAGGGAGGTGGTGGTGGTGATGGTGGTCATAGCACAGGGAGGTGGTGGTGGTGGTGGAGGCCGTTGTGGTAGCAGCGGCTGTGGTGGTGGTGGTCGTAGTGCAGGGTGGAGGCGGTTGTTGTGGTGGAGGCGGTTGTTGTGGTGGAGGCGGTTGTTGTGGTGGAGGCGGTTGTTGTGGTGGAGGCGGTTGTTGTGGTGGAGGCGGTTGTTGTGGTGGAGGCGGTTGTTGTGGCGGAGGCGGTTGTTGTGGTGTGTCAGCGCAGGGAGGTGGCGGTGGTGGAGGCGGTTGTGGTGGTGGTGGTGGAGGCGGTTGTGGTGGTGGTGGAGGCGGTTGTGGTGGTGGTGGAGGCGGTTGTGGTGGTGGAGGCGGTTGTGGTGGTGGTGGAGGCGGTTGTGGTGGTGGTGGAGGCGGTTGTGGTGGTGGTGGTTGTGGTGGTGGTGGAGGCGGTTGTGGTGGTGGTGGTGGTGGAGGCGGTTGTGGTGGTGGTGGAGGCGGTTGTGGTGGTCGTAGCGCAGGGAGGAGGTGGTAGTGTAGGCGGTTGTGGATTTTTTTTTTTTACCAAACATGGGCGGAGATCGCTCCCTCGGGGCTCCGGGCTAATGCAGGAAGTGATTGCGTCACTGACGACGACGTGGGCACTCTGCGCTCTAGCTCGCTGCTTGCTCCCCGGGAAAAAAATCATCGGCCCCCTGCTCCCTTCCCTCCCTCCCACCCCTGCTGCTCCAAACCGCAACCTCGAAGGGCACCTCCCCCCCTCCTCCCACTCCATTGGCAAATGCAGCCTGCACGAGTACACGCCGTGCAGGAAAATGGGGTCGTTGAGGGAGGTGGGGGGGGGGCAGCCGGTCAGGGTGGGGGTCACGTCTTGTCGAGAGTTTGCCGCCTGCATTGTGTGCAGACGAAAGAAAAAAAATAGTTTGGTTTAGGTGTCATTTAGAAAATATTTGCCGTGAATCTGTGACGTTGATTGTGCCGTATTGCGGCGCGTTGTTTTTGTCGATTACGGGGCCTCGGTAGTGCACCTCGCCTGGCACAAAGTGCCGTGGTGACGTCATCGCCGCTGGGTGGTGAATGGCTGGTTATTGTTGTCGTTATTGTCCTCTTGTGTGTAATGGGAAAGCAAACGTTATCCCCGCTACTACCGCAGTTCAGTGAATTCTCACCTTTTTTTGAGCTGCTATGCCTGTCACAATTGAAGTATTTTTTTTGGTCTCGTTTTTACTGACTCATTCGAATCGTTTTTTGTCGATCTGTCTCGTGTAACAGCTTCGCTTGCTCCATTGGTTTCTCTTAAACTCTGGACAATTAATTCTTACACGGCCAATTTGGATGTGCATCGTTACATGCCATGGGTGTGATGCGGTCACTTCACTATTATCCGAGGTGAAAGGTGGGGGGGGGAGTGGCGAGGGATGACCCAGAAAGAAAAAAAAAATTACGGACGGTGGAAAATGCACGTACATTTGTAGAGTTCGCCGTCTGTTTGCTTCCCGACCGACGTGTAGGTGATGTACATGGATGTTGAATTTCTTTTGCACCGTACGTAGCCAACCATGCTTATCGGAGGTGCGGGGAAGGACAACGAACTAAAACACAAAAGGCACTCGGGTCACCCATCCGCAACGAGTGAGGAGCAGCTAATTAAACCCGTGTGCACTTCCAAGATATTTTTCTGCCAGCGCCGATAATCCACGGCACGGATAAACCGCTCACGGGTTAATCGGGAGAGCGAGCAGAATTGTGAACATCAACTCTCGGGAAACAGGAGGCGGCCCGGCCATGGGGTGCTGGCAAACACCGTTCCGTCGCGTGCCGTGCCGGCCTTAATGGGTGCTGCTCGCTATAACAGCACTTATCCCAGAGGTCTGTTTAGGCTATACGGGGGACATTTGTGTTTTTTTCAGGGCCCTCCTGGCTCCCAGCATTCCCCTCACCCACAGCCCCCACCAGGGCCTGGAATGATGGGTCCGCATGCACAGGTACGTGAACGCGCACACACACTCTGGTAGTATTACGCGTACAGCTGCAATAACCGACTAATTAAATAATCGATTCGCCTATAGAATGTGGCTCCCATGCTATGAATTAAACTTTGCAATTAGTTTGCGTTTTATTTGTGGAAACGATGTCAGCATGCGAGACTCTATTCGTGTGTTTAATCGCGGGTTTAAATTTCTTCCCCGATTAAAAGTGCTTCCCCTTTCCCAAAGAAGTGCATTGTGGTCCTCTTCACCATCAATGTAAATTATAACCAGGTGTGACGGAGTGGCATTTCTTAATTTTCTTGTCCCACCCGCCCTGGCACAGAGGGCAATGTTCATTGCATGACAATTTCGTGAATGGACAAAAGACAAGCCACAGAAGTGTGATTGTGGCCATGCAACTCCAACTATGGACTACATAGTAGTCTGCGCTACTTGAAAGAATAGCAAAACTGCACTAACTCTCTCCTGAAGCCAGCTCGTCGTGGCAAGTAGACCTCGACATTGGCATTTAGCTCCTGAAAATATTGCTTCGCATGATTGGAACCGCGTGACATTGAAACCGATGTTCTCCAATTAAGCGCAGAACCAAATTTTGCGTGATGGGCATCTTTTTTGTTCGGTCATTGGTGATCGGGCTGAGATTGTCGACTCGCTACATGGAAAAATTTGGTTTAACCACGGGCGGCTGAAACCCGGGTTCAAACCCAGGATCTCATCGGTGCCAACTCAGCGCTCTGACATCCAAGCCCCGCGGCCACCTCGATTAATCGACAATGTAAGAATAATCTGTACAATCGATGAATCGTACCAGCACTAGTTGCTAGGCTGAGTGCGAGTGGGGGGGGGGGGGGAACGTGGAGCTGATGGGGATGCTGTCCGCTTGCTATGTCTCCCCCACTGCAGGCGTTCATGTCTCCGCGCTTCCCTGGGGGCCCACGGGGACCTCACCGCATGCCCGGACAGGTGACGCACCGCGGCAGAACCACGGCGCTGCTACCACACAACCACAGCACAGACACGCAACCACAGCGCCGTGTTGCACGTACAACCGCAATGCATCCACACGCAGCCACACACCACGCGACCACACAACCATGACACTACTATACACACGAGGGAGCCACGCAAAACACAGCACAACCACGCACACGCACACGGCACAACTTGCACACACATACGGCAGAATCTCACACACACGGCACAAACACGCACGGCACAACCACAAAACAAAATGCAATACACGGAGCAATACATTGACAACATTACAAAAACCACACAACACACCAATCAAATTCGCACGCGCACACATCCATATGAAACACCACACATACCACACGCTCCACACACACACCACACATACACCCCAAGCATACCACGCGTGCCACAATTGGCACTCAAAGTTCTCATCCAAACAACAACTCCCGCTTGCGTCCCGTGCACCGCGCTCGTCACCGAGGGTGCTGCCCCTGTTTGACGGGAGTCTGTCGTGTGGCCCCTCTCTGCTGCGTCTGTGTTGGCCTCACTCCGCTTAGGGCATGGGTGGAATGCCAGGGCCACAGCCGCTCATGCCCAGCACCATGGACCCGACTCGCCAGCCCGGTGAGTCTCCCCGCCCCGTGACCAAGCTGATGTGACATCATGGTCTCATTTATTTGTTGCGCTAACTTCGTTGTTTTTCTGATTTTTGTTTTCTTTATTTGTTCATTTTTTATTTTCTTGGTAGAAGCAGTGGTTTTAATTTGCTTGGTAGTGGCTGTATAATGGGATTTGGTCCTTATATATAATTAATGTACAGCATTATGGAATGCTATTGGCATCAGTGACCCAATTATTATCAAATATAAGTATTATTATTGCTACGTATGAACGCAGCTGAGTGGTGAAATCACTTAGAACTGAATCTGTAATCGTTGCCCTTGGCCATACAAAATCATCACCATCAACACTATAATCACCCCCGCATCTCCTATTAGCATGGTTGGCTACGTACGGTGCGAGTAAATTCAACATGCATGCATGTAGTCACAATACGATGTGGATTTACACGTGACCGTCATCTCAAGACACTGGACTTGGCCGATGTTGTCCCCATTCATTCATCCATTCGAGGCGCATGCTCGATTTTCACGACTGCTGCCCTCCCCCCCCCCCCATACGTGTTGTGGAAGCAGGGCATGCTGGGATGGGCCCTATCCAGAGGATGACCCCTCCGCGGGGGATGGCGCCCATGGGACCTCAGGTGATGCGACAGCGCCGGCGATCGGTTTCCATTGTTGCTTTGAAGTAACCCGACAGTTTTATCATCGCGCTCTTCGTGCAGAGCATCACTGCGCTGCCACTTTCCAATGAAAGTAAAATCTCAGAAAGCCATTGGCCAATAGATCAAGATCAGAATATGCTTTCCCACCTGATGATGGACGCGTGTGTTGCGCCCGAAACGTCGTGATTTATTTTATTTCATTTTATACCTACGTGACTTTACCGAAAAAACCAGAGGTATGGATTCCTGCAGTCACGAAAGCTTCAAATCAAGATGGAATATTTAAATTCGAGCTCTTTTTTTTACCGAAAATATTCCATTGTGGCCCGCATTCGCGTTGAATCGAGTTGCAGCGACAGGCGTGTGGAGCGTAGCCGCTAAAGACCCCCTCGCCCCATCTCGTTTTAGACAACTCCTAGGAATTGCTAGATCTCTCGGTGCGACTGGGACAGACACACGTGTGTGTGTGTGTGTGTATCCGTTAGTGGGGAGCGGTAGTGTTCCGGTTAGTGCGTTGCGCTACGAACCCAGCGGCCCGAGTTCAATCTATAGGGGGATTTTTGTTTTGTACTCGCTGGGGGTGTGATGATTCGCTCCCCCATCCTGCTGGCGATTTGATGGATTGTCGCGATCGAGGACCGCAATTGCAATCGGGCATCGATTATTATTTTGCTTTCGGTTTTTTTTCCGCCTCCCTTGTATCGGTAACGTTTTTCCTCTCAATTCTCATGATTTTGCGCACCTCCTTACCATAATTATGCGGATCGTATTTATAACACTGCGTGCAATTTGCATAAATGTTCAAACTATATATATTCTTGTCAGACTCAATATTGATCGATGAATCGATAAACAAAGGCATCATTACACCCCCTAGCATTGACCTCTTTAGTTTAGCCCGGTCACCTATGACTCCAGGAAAATACCCCCCCCCCCCCTCCCAAAAAAAATTGCATTCAATTTGGTTCTGCACTTGATTTAGGACAAATGCCAACTCTTGATAATAAAAAAAATCGCAGTATGCCCATCACGCGACGAACGTTAAGTCTCCATGGCATAGCATGTGGCAACGTGCAGCCCCCTCTACGATGTGAACCAGAGGTCACGTGAAGGGATCTCGGTGGTATCTCTGTGACATCGGCTTCCGTGGGTACCGTTCTCTATAAGCAGGAAGGGTTGCACTGCGAGAGGTTTTCGCAGACTTTTTGTCTCATCACATGACACCGGCAGCGTAATGCTGGGGAAAGAAATAATTGACTGAATCCGTATTATTTTAATGCTTAATTTCTCCACCTCGGTTTGAACTCTAGGCTATAAAATTTGTTCTGTAGGTAAGATCCCAGCATTGGTTTGGTTCATCTTCACTGTAGGAATCTCAGTGTGTGCGTGAGAGCTGTTGGGTTGGTATTTGCCTTCTGGAACAAGTGGCGATGTTCCAATCGGAGGAGATGGGTGGGGGGGGGGTGGGGTTCGTGCCCTCTGTGGGCCCTGTCATGAACGATGGCAATTATTTACCCCATGGACAGCCTCACTGAGTCTCAAGACTCTTTTTTCAGGAGGGCCCTGCTTCAGCGCGATGTTTGGCCAATTCCGTTAATGAGTGTTTGGCGTGCGGGAGGAACCCGGAGAAAACCCACCAGCACCACCAGCACCAGCACCACCACCAGCACCACCACCACCCATACGCGGGGGTGACACTCAGCACGGCCATCTCCTGGCCACCTCGCAGCCCCACGCCTACAACACCTGGCAAGACCTGGTGGTCACCCATCCAAGTACTAACCAACCTTAACCCTGCTTAGCTTCTGCGCTCTGACGCACAGTAAGGTGATTTGGTTGCCGCTAAAACGTGCGCCCTGGCGTGTGTCCTGGTGTGTGTCCGTGCAGGCAGAACCGTGGTTCCCCATGCAAAGCTACGGGGGAGGGGTGCGGCCCCCACACACTCCGCTAGGGGGACCCGCGATGCCTGGAGTCAGCATGTAAGGCCGATGCCCCTCCCCCTTCCCCCCACCACCCCCCCCTTCCCCTCACCCCTTCCCCCCACCCCCCACATTCATGCTGCTCCGCGCACTTACGGGTGTACGGCTGCGTTATCCGTAAACACGCGACGTCTGCTTAAACGGCAACAACAATTTGCATTTTACGTCGCGTCCACGACGTTGCAAGCGTCTCGGAGCACGCTGGTGTTTTAGCCTAAGGGACCCACCGATGGCAGCTGTCCCTTCGGGCATATAGTGCACGTTAAAGATCCCGTGACGTTATTAGAAACGGAGCAGGAATTCGTGTTGACGGCGTCACGGTCGAAATCTGCCAAATTTGATCAATCGCTCGCCACATTACTTAATTGGGTGAAACCGCTTGGATACATTGCTCCCTATTGATGGACTAATTGCCCAATTGCTGGCCGGTAGCTGCTTCAAACCTTGTGGCACGCGGGGACAGCTGCGACGTGATATAATTTGTCGTAAGTGTACATTGCATTTTTATTGCACTGTGTATATTGCGCTTTGCTGTACTCCCCAGTGTGAATAAAAGACTCAATTAAAAGTTCTTCCACTGCAGTTCACTCGACATGAGGCTGCCAACGAGCCTTCTTAACGGTTGTGGCGTTACATCCTGCCATGTTTTATGATGCAACCCAAGCCGCGCATGAATAATTAAATAACCGAATGAACTGCGGAAACTGTGATGTCATGCAACCGCCATTTTGCCAACTTCAGTTGGAAAGCGTTTAGCAGAGTGGGCTAAATCCCTATAACTGTTATGTCATTTGTGTTTGTTTGTTTGTTTCCGAAATACTTCTGCAATATGTTTTATATTTTTTTTGTTAAACAGCCGTGATTACGATTGTGACATTACAGTACTGTAGTCAAGTGTGTCTTGTGTAACCAGGGTGATAACTCAAGTGACCAGGCATAGAGGAGTCAGTGACCTGGGCGGGGAGGTGGGGGTGGTCACCTCAATGACCAAAGGAAAAACAAAGTTCAGCAGTGAAGCGTCGTGACCTCATATCATACGAAAACCGTTCTCTCGTATCACGCTGATCTTAGTTTAAATGTGGTGTTGTCACGTGACTGGCATGTCTTTAATTAGTCCGTAGAACTTTTGGCCAGCGCTATTTTAATGGGTATAGCGTGAGTTTATTTACAACTTTAATCTCAAGTTTTCTTAGAACCTTTTTGTTAAAACAACAAAAAATTCTTATGATAATCCAAATATGAAAGAATCCCGCATTATGGACGATACGGTTGTCTTCATCGCAGGGTGATGGCGCAGTGGCAACGGTCGTGCCTCACAGCAGGAAGAGCCTGGGTTAAATTTCTGACTCGGGTGCATCCCCTTGTTCTGCATGGGTTTCCACCGGTGGCCTATCGATTCTCAAAAACGCACACACACACGCACATAGTAAATGGTTTTCTGCAAATTACTCGATTTGGATTACATGCACAGCAGCAACGGCAGCAGCAGCAACAACAACAATCGCCCCCGACCCCTTCCACCCCCGACCCCTTCCCCACCACTGCAAAACTTGGCAGGACCCTCGTGAAAAAGAGTTGAGGCTCGGTGAGACCATTGCTGGGTGCACAAGTGGCCAATATAATAATAACAAATGACAGTCGCCTTATACATATTGCGGTGAACGTCGCCGGTTGTGGTCGCGATTGGTAATCCTCCTTCCCCCTCCCCCCGTGTTCCTTCGCAGGGGGCCCGGCGGCGGACGTCCTTGGCCTAACGCCTCCAACCCAAACTCGGTGCGTCCCTCCCGGCCCTCGCCGAAATTTCACAGCCGGCCTTGCGCGTTTTTCGGCGGCCGTTTGCGTTGCACCATTTGCCCGTTGTCGTCTGCCACCACAGTGGTTCTCAACCGGGGGTGCGCGGACCGCTTGGCGGTCCGTAGCAATGTCCCCAGGGGGTGTACACAAAGCGATTTTACGTGTGAAAATGTATAATCCGCGGGAGTCATTGGTGTGAGTAATGACGTATGAATCTGCCAATATAAAATAACTGCGATAAAATTTGAATCTGTATGGCAGAACCTAGAATTATATTAAAGACCTTAACTCGTTGATCGTAAACAATGTGGGTTTTCCAAGAGTAACCAGCGAGCGCGGACAAATGACGTCACGCAATGCAGAGCGTCCGTTTTTTTTTATTCGCTTGCAGTTACTTAGTATAACCTCACAAAATGGACAATTGGTTAAAATTATTCGTACATTTATTTCTCAGAACCATGTTGGGTCGGGAAAGGGGGTGGTACTACTCGGTTGAAAATAAATTCAACAAGGGGGTAGGTGCAGTCGCCAACAAAGGTTGAGAACCACTGCTCTATCGGAACCGGGGTGGGTGCTAAGTGACGTGGTAACTCGTGCGTCTCATTTAAAAAAATATTGCTGCGATTGCTCTATTTTGTGATGGGGGTGGGGGTATGTGGGGGGGGGGGGCGGTTGCGGTTATGATTAATCTCTCTTGAAGATGAGAGAATTATTTGAACGGAATTTTTATTTCAAGTTGTATTGCCATTACGGAATTGCCGTGGATAAAACCGGCGGCAGATTGATTTCCGATAAAAATCAGCACTGAAGGGCTTTGCCGGCCGAGGCGATGATGTCATGCGCGTGCTTGCGTGATGTCATCCCGTTCGTGCGGCTCGGGACGTAGCGTTGCCATCGCTAATTTAACACTTCCCGTGGACGAAACGCGATGTTGGGGGGGAAAAGCATCACAGCATCTGTGCCATGCGTGTGACTTTCGTAATTAAATTAGCGATGCGTTGGCGAGGTTCGCACCACCCTAGCCGCGTGTCATGGTCCCGCCCGACACGGCCGCCAGCTGTGGTGTCGGTGCCGTCCAGCGTTTACCGAGTGAACGCATGCCCACGCCCAGCCTGGGCCGCACTGAGTGGGGGGGGGGGGGCGGTGGGGGTTTGGGGGCCGTGAGCGGCCTGGCACTGTTACGCCCTGTGACCATGTGATCAGCTGTTCTCTCTCCATTTTGCACTGAAGCTTTTCCATCTTGTGTTCCTCTTCTCTCCGATGTTTTCCGTCCGTACCTCTTTCCGTCTCTCTCGCTCGGCCGAGCCCCATCACCGAGTCGCTCTGCGTCTCCTCCGTTTGTTATTTCCTGTCTCACCTTCTTCTTCCCTCCCCCGCCCGCCCCCTCCCCTCCCCACCCCCGCCCCCACCTGTCCTTTTTCTTGTAGGCTCCCTTTTCAGCTTCTTCTCCCGGAAGCTACGGGGTATGTGTTCCACGTCTCCGCGAGCCATTCGACATCCATGCGCGCGCGCCTCGCTCCCCTCCTCCGCAGTTCGTGCTTGCTTGCTCACGCGGCCATCCTCGTGCGCCAGCTTGCTCGTGTCCGCGTGTGCCCCCGGGCGTGTGTGTGTGTGTGTGTGCGCGTATTTGCTTGTGCCGCTTGTGCTGCCCGCCTTCGTTTGTGTGTGTCGGTGTCCGTGTCTTTCGCAGTTCATGTGCGTGTCTCTTTGTCCGTCTCGTGTGGTTAACGATGCCTGCTTTTGTTGTGTGTGTGTGCGCGCGTGTGTGTGCGCGCATGTGGGCATCTCCCACAGGGTGCCCCTGGTAGTGGCGGTCCTCCCGGAACCCCGATCATGCCCAGCCCAGGAGGTAACTATCGCACGATGTCTCTGCCCCCCCCCCCCCCCTCTTACCACGACACTGCAGCAGAAAACACGCCCCCCACTAAATACGCATAAGTGCCATGAGCAAGCAGCACCTATGAAGGCCAGCACGGCACACGAGGGGGTGGTGTGGCCGGAACCATTCGTGGCTGTCGTTGTTTTCCCCAGTACTGGCATTTACATGCGGCATGAGGTACTCATTTAAGGTTGAGTCGACCAAGGGTAATCCCAGGACCCCTTCAGATACTCGCCACTGAAGTTGGCCTTGAGCGGGAATCGAACTTGGGTGGCTGGGTCCGTAGTTCATTTCGCTCGCCGCCCCTGCTTACGCGTCCAGATGCGAGCAGGCACACAAACTGCCGAGTGTGCCAGCTGAGCTTGAGTGCGATTATGGGTTCAGGTTAATCTGTGTCACATGGGGAAAAATCAGAGGCTGAATATTAAACAACCTAATAATCAAACGGCAATTCATTGACAGTGTTGTTTATTTTCTACTTGTTAAAACGGCTGTCTCTATAGTTCAACATAGTTGCTGAGCCCAAGCTCAGAGGCCCAAAACGTCAAACGGCCGGTAACAAAAAGCACTCCATTATCAGTTGTAATGTATAACAGTCAGTGCATTTATTGAATTGAGCAGACTTATCGTTTAAGAGTTTTGGAAAATGGACCAAGCGAGGCGTTTGGAAAGTTGAGCAGTGCGAGGGAAGAAGCAGAAAGAGAAGCATTGTGGCCTGCAGTGTGGTGGGTGGGTGTTGTGACTTGCAGTGTGTTTAGTAGGTGGGTGGGTGTTGTGACCTGCAGTGTGATGGGTGGGTGAGTGTTGTGACCTGCAGTGTGGTGGGTGGGTGTTGTGACCCACAGTGTGGTAAGTAGGTGGGTGAATTGGTGAATGGGTGGGTGAATGTTGTGACCTGCAGTGTGGTGAGTGGGTGTTTTGATTTGCAGTGTGGTGAATGGGTGGTTGGGTGTTGTGACCTTCAGTGTGGTAAGTGGGTGGGTGGGTGGGTGAGTGCGTGACTTAGGTGAGTTAGTGTGACCTGCCATGCAGTAGTTGAACACCGTGTGCAGGATGAAATGAAACAGTCAGGGTCTGGTCGACCGAATCCTCAACATGGATAGAGTAATTAACGAGTTTCAGTTCACAGGAACGGTAACCGTGGTAGTAGCAATAGAAGAGTGACAGGGAAGCGACTGGCCGCCAGTGAGTGATCGAGCGATTGGAGTGGATCAGTGAGTGCTGGACCATCAGTCGACCTGGCCGAACCGCAGTGCAGTGAGGTAGTAACTGTGCGCTCCACCCCAGATATTCTTTAAGCGTCACACTCGCCCCTAGTTTTAGATTAAATAAAAACCATTACTGACGTTCAGTTTACTTCCAGTAGAGGGGGTGGAAGAATCCCGTGGGAGTCACGCGGGGTGTCTTGTCACCCCCATGTGCAGGTTCCCCCGGTGGCCCCCACCCTGCCCAGGTGCTCGCCGGACACCGCCTCTCACAAGGTGAGCGAGCGTCGGGCTGCAGCGAGCACCATTACCCAAACGTCCCTTCTACCTCAGAGCAGCCAGATACTCGTTTTTCCACTCGGCAAACCAAACCACGCGACGCCGGCCTCTCGCGGGACATCCGAATCTGGTTCGGGGTGCCAAGCAGGGCCACGGACGTTGGGGTTCGCGACGCGTCCGTTGCGCGTGATGGCGGCATTGCTCTCGATCGCGGCGGCGGCGGCGGCGGCATCGCCGCGGTCGTTGTCTCCGTGCGTCACGGCTCGGTTCCTGCAGTGGAAAAACCAACCTAGCTTCTGAAGCTGTGCCGGGATGGCCCGGCACGGCCCCTGTGTTGCTCGGGAGGAGCGTTTTTTTTTCCACTGCGCAGAAGCCTAGCCGTACTGCCGACGTTGCATGCAATGAATACGTCAAGAACCCCGTGCCTCTAGCCCAGCTTTGGCCACAAGCCAGATGCAGATGCCTTTCTAGGCCAGCGAATCGCAGTTTGGTTTTGGCTTGGTAAATTGCCGTCCGAAAACCACCCATGCGGTGTCCGTGCTGGCTCGGCCTTGCGTGTGTGCCAGTGGATAAAGGGTATATGACAGGGCAGGCAGATAGGCTCAGCGTTATTTATAGTGAAGAATATTGGACCCCCTTAGAGGCCAAACAATCATGGGAGCAAGCTGGATTTAGGAAAGGTTTTTCTACCATCGACCACGTCGCTAGTGTGCAGGGTCACTGCAGTGTTAGCGCACGTCAGCTTGGCTAGAGTCGCTGCCACGACAGCCCGTTGCGTCGCAGATGTTGACTTGATGTTGACTTGATGTTGACTTGATGTTCTGACTGTGCCCGGGGGCTGTGTTGTCTTTGTTGCTCTAGACTCGACCGGCTCCAATGAGAACATGTACACCATGATGACCCCAGTGCCTCCCGGAGCGAACCGGCCAAACGTGAGTGAGCCCATGGTGCCAGAACCCCAACTCGCCACAACACTCTGACTCGCCAACACCCTGACTCGCCAACACCCTGACTCGCCAACACCCTGACTCGCCAACACCCCGACTCGCCAACACCCTGACTCGCCAACACCCTGACTCGCCACAACACCCTGACTCGCCACAACACCCTGACTCGCCAACACCCCGACTCGCCACAACACCCTGACTCGCCACAACACCCTGACTCGCCACAACACCCGACTCGCCACAACATCCTGACTCGCCACAACACCCCGACTCGCCAACACCCCCGACTCGCCAACACCCGACTCGCCACAACACCCCGACTCGCCAACACCCTGACTCGCCACAACACCCCGACTCGCCACAACACCCTGACTCGCCAACACACTGACTCGCCAACACCCTGACTCGCCAACACCCTGACTCGCCAACACCCTGACTCGTCAACACCCCGACTCGCCAACACCCTGACTCGCCAACACCCTGACTCGTCAACACCCTGACTCGCCACAACACCCTGACTCGCCACAACACCCCGACTCGCCAACACCCTGACTCGCCAACACCCCGACTCGCCACAACACCCTGACTCGCCACAACACCCTGACTCGCCACAACACCCCGACTCGCCAACACCCTGACTCGCCACAACACCCTGACTCGCCAACACCCTCACTCGCCAACACCCTGACTCACCACACCCTGACTCGCCACAACACCCCGACTCGCCAACACCCTGACTCGCCAACACCCTGACTCGCCACAACACCCTGACTCGCCACAACACCCTGACTCGCCAACACCCTGACTCGCCAACACCCTGACTCGCCACAACACCCTGACTCGCCACAACACCCTGACTCGCCACAACACCCTGACTCGCCAACACCCCGACTCGCCACAACACCCTGACTCGCCACAACACCCTGACTCGCCAACACCCTGACTCGCCAACACCCCGACTCGCCAACACCCTGACTCGCCAACACCCCGACTCGCCACAACACCCTCACTCGCCACAACACCCTGACTCGCCAACACCCCGACTCGCCACAACACCCTGACTCGCCAACACCCTGACTCGCCAACACCCTGACTCGCCAACACCCCGACTCGCCAACACCCTGACTCGCCAACACCCTGACTCGCCACAACACCCTGACTCGCCACAACACCCTGACTCGCCAACACCCCGACTCGCCACAACACCCTGACTCGCCACAACACCCTGACTCGCCACAACACCCCGACTCGCCACAACACCCTGACTCGCCACAACACCCCGACTCGCCAACACCCCGACTCGCCAACACCCGACTCGCCACAACACCCCGACTCGCCAACACCCTGACTCGCCACAACACCCCGACTCGCCACAACACCCTGACTCGCCAACACCCTGACTCGCCAACACCCTGACTCGCCAACACCCTGACTCGCCAACACCCTGACTCGCCAACACCCTGACTCGTCAACACCCCGACTCGCCAACACCCTGACTCGCCAACACCCTGACTCGTCAACACCCTGACTCGCCACAACACCCTGACTCGCCACAACACCCGACTCGCCAACACCCTGACTCGCCAACACCCCGACTCGCCACAACACCCTGACTCGCCACAACACCCTGACTCGCCACAACACCCCGACTCGCCAACACCCTGACTCGCCAACACCCTGACTCGCCAACACCCTGACTCGCCACAACACCCTGACTCGCCAACACCCTGACTCACCAACACCCTGACTCGCCACAACACCCCGACTCGCCAACACCCTGACTCGCCAACACCCTGACTCGCCACAACACCCTGACTCGCCACAACACCCTGACGCGCCAACACCCTGACTCGCCAACACCCTGACTCGCCACAACACCCTGACTCGCCACAAACACCCTGACTCGCCACAACACCCTGACTCGCCAACACCCCGACTCGCCACAACACCCTGACTCGCCACAACACCCTGACTCGCCACAACACCTGACTCGCCAACACCCTGACTCGCCACAACACCCTGACTCGCCAACACCCTGACTCGCCACAACACCCCGACTCGCCAACACCCTGACTCGCCAACACCCTAACTCGCCACAACACCCCGACTCGCCAACACCCTGACTCGCCAACACCCCGACTCGCCACAACACCCCGACTCGCCACAACACCACGACTCGCCAACACCCCGACTCACCACAACACCCTGACTCGCCAACACCCCGACTCGCCACAACACCCTGACTCGCCACAACACCCCGACTCGCCACAACACCCTGACTCGCCACAAACCCCGACTCGCCAACACCCTGACTCGCCAACACCCCGACTCGCCACAACACCCCGACTCGCCAACACCCTGACCCGCCACAACACCCTGACTCGCCACAACACCCCGACTCGCCACAACACCCTGACTCGCCAACACCCCGACTCGCCAACACCCTGACTCGCCAACACCCCGACTCGCCAACACCCTGACTCGCCAACACCCTCACTCGCCACAACACCCTGACTCGCCACAACACCCTGACTCGCCAACACCCCGACTCGCCACAACACCCTGACTCGCCACAACACCCTGACTCGCCACAACACCCCGACTCGCCACAACATCCTGACTCGCCACAACACCCCGACTCGCCAACACCCCGACTCGCCAACACCCGACTCGCCACAACACCCCGACTCGCCAACACCCTGACTCGCCACAACACCCCGACTCGCCACAACACCCTGACTCGCCAACACCCTGACTCGCCAACACCCTGACTCGCCAACACCCTGACTCGTCAACACCCCGACTCGCCACAACACCCCGACTCGCCACAACACCCTGACTCGCCACAACACCCTGACTCGCCAACACCCTGACTCGCCAACACCCTGACTCGCCAACACCCTGACTCGTCAACACCCCGACTCGCCAACACCCTGACTCGCCAACACCCTGACTCGTCAACACCCTGACTCGCCACAACACCCTGACTCGCCACAACACCCCGACTCGCCAACACCCTGACTCGCCAACACCCCGACTCGCCACAACACCCTGACTCGCCACAACACCCTGACTCGCCACAACACCCCGACTCGCCAACACCCTGACTCGCCACAACACCCTGACTCGCCAACACCCTGACTCGCCACAACACCCTGACTCGCCAACACCCTGACTCACCAACACCCTGACTCGCCACAACACCCCGACTCGCCAACACCCTGACTCGCCAACACCCTGACTCGCCACAACACCCTGACTCGCCAACACCCTGACTCGCCACAACACCCTGACTCGCCACAACACCCTGACTCGCCACAACACCCTGACTCGCCACAACACCCTGACTCGCCAACACCCCGACTCGCCACAACACCCTGACTCGCCACAACACCCTGACTCGCCACAACACCCTGACTCGCCAACACCCTGACTCGCCACAACACCCTGACTCGCCAACACCCTGACTCGCCACAACACCCCGACTCGCCAACACCCTGACTCGCCAACACCCTAACTCGCCACAACACCCCGACTCGCCAACACCCTGACTCGCCAACACCCCGACTCGCCACAACACCCCGACTCACCACAACACCACGACTCAACAACACCCCGACTCGCCAACACCCCGACTCACCACAACACCCTGACTCGCCAACACCCCGACTCGCCACAACACCCTGACTCGCCACAACACCCCGACTCGCCACAACACCCTGACTCGCCACAAACCCCGACTCGCCAACACCCTGACTCGCCAACACCCCGACTCGCCAACACCCTGACTCGCCACAACACCCTGACTCGCCACAACACCCCGACTCGCCACAACACCCTGACTCGCCAACACCCTGACTCGCCAACACCCTGACTCGCCAACACCCTGACTCGCCAACACCCTGACTCGCCAACACCCTGACTCGTCAACACCCCGACTCGCCACAACACCGTGACTCGCCACAACACCCTGACTCGCCAACACCCTGACTCGCCAACACCCTGACTCGCCAACACCCCGACTCGCCACAACACCCCGACTCGCCAACACCCTGACTCGCCACAACACCCTCACTCGCCACAACACCCCGACTCGCCAACACCCTGACTCGCCAACACCCCGACTCGCCAACACCCTGACTCGCCAACACCCTGACTCGCCACAACACCCTGACTCGCCAACACCCTGACTCGCCACAACACCCTGACTCGCCACAACACCCTGACTCAGCAATGTCACCAACAGTCTGGCTTGACACACACACACCAGGTGTCCAATACGAGTGGAACGATACATTAACCCTTTGATTAATATTGGTTGTGCAGCTCATGATGTGTAGGAATCAATGTTTTTCTATTGATATACGTTTTATGTAATGGGTTAACGTGACCTCCTCTAGCCACTAGAGGCTGTTACATTCACCACGGTCTTAAACATAATAATACTGCTATTGTTTTTGTTTAGAATTTGTCTTTTTTTCCCCATTGTCATCGCGATCGCGCTGTTGGCATCGCGTCATAAGACAAAGAATCCATCCGCAACTGTCACGGAGCACTGCGATATGACCCCTCTGTGTTTGAGAACGGCTCAGAGAAGTGGATATCGCAGAACTACTTCCGAGATCCCTTCAAGTGACCTCTGGACACACACGCACATATGGGGGCAGCACTTTCCTACCCGTCCAACTGCAGATTAAGATCGTCACATGACAGTCAAACCGATATTTCTTATTCTCAGAGCTGGAATTGAGGCAAATTAAGTCCCGGCGGCAGATTTCCCACGACGGTTGGATTTTTTTTCACAGTCATTGGTGGCCGGGGCTCAGACCATCGACTCGCTTCACCTGATAACTTATTCTAACCACAGACGGCTGCCTGGATTTGAACCAAGGGTTTTCGATGGTGCCGGCTTAACCCTCTGACCTCCGAGCCATGAATAGTGGCAATTCATCCTAAGATGAATTGTTTAATTAAATTGCGACCATGCATAGTGGCAATTAACTAACTTGCGAGAAGGACAAATCATTAAACCCTCGTGTCCACAATGCGGTCTCAACAAAAGCAGACATGTCAGTTTTAAATACTCGCACTTGACAGATGGGGGTTGGAAATCGCAAAATGAATATATGAGGATTTTATGTTTAACAATCTGTCAGGGTTAGTTGTTTGCCTTTTGGCTTGGCACTATGCCTGTTTTTTTTACATTTGAGGGACTACAATACACAATTTGGGAGAGTTGAAAGGTTAGGTTGTTGTTGAGGTTGGTGTTTTGAGTTTGGAGTAATGTCGATTGTTACTGCACAGGTCAGAGAAGCTGGGACAAAGCAACTGAAAATTAACACGTGACCTTCCGTATTTAGGTCCACGCGGTAGATTCTAGGAATTTCATGGCACTAGAGGATAAATAGTTTGAAAGTTTATAACAGAACGTGGCATTAAAGCTTTGCAGGTATGTCTGTAGAAGTGAGGTTTTCATGGGTGGGACACGTGCACAGGGTGGGACACGTGCACAGGGTGGAGGTGGATGGGGTTAAGCAACTTGCAATTTTTTAACGGAGCTGTGGCAAGATAGCTCCGTCGATGTAATTGAGAAGAGGATGTTGTGATTGGGTGGGACACTGTGCAGGGTGGAGGAGGGCACGTGGGTAGATTAGAGTGACACCCAGAAGGTGGTAGATGCCAGAGCGATCCTTGAAGGATGGGTCAACCGTTAACAAAGGGAAGGACCACAAACGGGATAGTGGAATCCTGCTAGTGGACACCTTTAGATGGTCGGGTGCTGACTCTGAAACAGCTAAGGGATCTAGCAAATAAAAGGAAGTGATTCCGTGGGGTGGTGGCATCAACGGCACTGGCAGTGATGACCTCTTGACTTTTGTTTTTCACGATGTGTGAAAATAGAATTCACCGGCAACTACCGCTCACTTTTTCCCTCTCATCTCACTCCATTCGCCTCCACACACTCTCCTACCTTTCCCACCTCTCCCCCTCTCATGTATATATATATTTATGGTACATTTATTTACCACCGTACGTAGCCAACCGTGCTAATCGGAGGTGCAGGGGAAAGACAACAAACTAAATACAACAAGCAACTATAACTCTACTCGCCACGATGCGCTCTCCTAACTCTTCCATCTCATCTCACTCTACTCCCCTGCACACTTCATATCTCTGGCACCCAAGGTCTCCTGTCGAAGCCCGCAATCGACCTTCGCTGAGTGGAAGGTTGCCTATTCTCCTCTGCTGCCCACACGGCCTGAACTCCCTTCCCCCAGCCATTCGTGCTGTCGATTCCCCATCCATGTTTCAAGTCCAGGCTTAAGTCGTTTTTCCTCTGCCCGTGACCGACTGCCTCTCTCTCCATCCTTGAAAAATTAGACATGCCCACCGTTTCTGCCCAGCACGTTGAGTTGCGGTCGCACGTGGAAACTTCGAAAATCCACCTTTGTCTTGTGTGATTGTATTGTTATTGCTTCCGCCTGAAGGTTTGAATGGCATGGCCTGTTGTGTTACAGTTCCCAATGGGACCTGGAGATGGCGGAATGGGCATGGAATCCCATATGAATGGATCTTTAGGTGCCTGTGACTGCTCTTGCGTATAAACAAACAAACGCACACTAACGCGCACACACACGCACGCGCGTGCCTCTAGCCCTCCGACGCGTCTTCTGGTCGTGCCGCATGTTGTTGTTCGGCGCGACGTCCGATGTTTTCGCTCCACGTGCCGGGTGGGGTTGGGTGAGGCGGGGGGGGGATGGGGTGGGGGGAACTTCCTCGGGAGCCGAAAACATTTTTTTTTCGGGACGTCCCGCCAAACGGCACGGCGGCACGACCCGAAAACACACCGGAGAACAGCGGAGCAGCCACGAAAAACCTGCGGAGCGCGCCGCAACACGCACACTTAACACGCACACTAACACGCACGCGCGCACGTTTGGCACTCAACGTAGAATGTTGTCCGCCCCCGTGAGATATCGGTGCCTTTTATCTGCGACGTTTATATTGCAGGGTCGGCAGATATGGATGGAATTGCCAAGGTAAGCTGCCCCCGGGGGTGCCTCCTGTGTAGAGTCGTGGGGGCACACATGAGGAGTCGGGCCACGTGGACATTTTTGCTCCAACTTTGGAATTCCCTCCTGTCGGCCCTTTTCCCGAACTTCTCTTATTTACCGAAATCAAACGCATTCTCAACCCTTAGCCGTTAACGCTTTCACGAGTGTCGCTTGATGCCGGCCCCCTCTCTGCTTGGCGGTTTTCTGGGCCGCCTACTCAGCGACTTGCGATAAAAAAAACACAAGACCGTGGCGTGCGATTGTGATGATTGTCGTTTCGGTGGTAATTGCTTTGCGGGCGGGGGGGGGGGGAGGCGCTCCTTGTGATTTGAGCATGTTGCATGAAGAGTTGGCAAGGCAATTCGGAGGTCGGAGCACTGAGCCGGCACCGCTGAGAATCCTGGGTTCTCATGCAGGTTTCAGTGCAGCGAGTCGGTGGTCTCGGCGCGGTCGCCAACGACCGCACCCACACACACACAATTTATTTGGCTCTATTCTTGCTCTTGAGATTATAAAAAAAAAATATCGGTTTGACTGTCACGTGTTGGGACACCACTTGTCGCTTGTGTTGCGATCGAAACGTCGTGATTTCATTTATTTTATTTTATACCTACGGAACACCACTGTCTGCAGCAGGGTGGGTAGGCATGTGCTGCACCCCCAACCCCGCCCCCACCTACTGTGGCTAAGAGGTCACTTGAAGAAGGCATCTCAGAGGTAGCTTTGCGATATCCCCATCCGCGGGCCATTCTCTGACGACAACAGGGAGGGAATTCACCGCTCTGCCAGAGTTTTGGAACGGATCCTTAATTCTCGCGACGTGATGCCGATAATGCGACTGGGACGAAGCTGGGGAAAACTTGCAGGTAAGATAACGCACTAACCCCCCACCCCCTCCCCCATCTTGCATGTGCGCGTGTGCGTGGGTGCGTGCGCGTGCGCGTTTGCAGAATTCCCCCAACAACATGAGCGGGGGAATGAGCAACGCCCCGGGGACCCCCCACGAGGATGACGAAATCCCAGGAGGCTTCCTCAACCCCTTCCCAGGCGACAGCGTAAGCTCCCCCTCCCCTCCTTACCAAGGGTACAATAAACCCTCGCTCCCTTCCTTACCAAGGGCACTGTAAGACCCCCCCCACCACCACTCCCTTACCAAGGGCACGGTAAGGTCCCCTGTCCTTGTCGGAGCAGTCTAAAGAGCGCGATGCATTGATTCATGGATTAAAATTCACTCTTGCGCTGAAGGACAGATGCGTCAAATCCTGAGTGTGAATCGACGATTGTTGTTGATGGTGTTGTTGTTTCGTACGTGTTGCGTGCCTAATGGGGTCACGTGACTCTCGCTGCCACTAGAGGCCGCTGTAATTAGGAATTTACTTCGTCGTTGAATCGATTCGTCAGCCGCGGGGTTCGTAGGACCTTATCGAATCGTAGAGGGTAGGGAAATCGTTGCAGACCTACCTACCCATTGCTACTGCCGGATGAAGGCCTCTGCCCACCAAGTTGGACATAGGTTGCGTTTGACCATACTTCACCGTGCCGGGTTGGTGAAGGTGGTTGGGGGGGGGGGGTGGGAGGAGTTGACTTTCGGGCGCCAAAGACCAATTCACACGTGGGTTTCGCTTTGGCTGGCCAGGAATCAAAGTGATTTCGCCAGGGTTCGTAGCGCGGCATGGTAACTTTGCACACGTGACGCATGGGAGCAGAATGCTATGGGTTACAGACAGTGACGTTTCAATGGGTGGCGAATGCGCTGCCACCAGCGTCAGAAGACTCAATTTGACTCTTTGAATCGATGCACGACTCCATTGCTTACTATATGTACACGCCAGAAAATGCAGTCGGTTTAACACGTAGGCTTTCGCGACCAATGCAGTGTTGGTGCACCTTAGAGGGACTGTAGATGGGATGGGGACTAAAGGGATTGTAGAGGTAAGTGCCGCTGCGTCCACATTCAACGTGTGGTGGTGGTGGTGGTGGAGGGTGAAATGTTAAAGAGTCTTGCAGGGGTAGGCCAAACTTCTTTATCCTACGAGCTGCGCAACAAAAAGTGAGCGTGGCCTAGAACCACGAGACACGCATGGCCTTTCACGCCGTGGTTGTCTCTCGGGCCGGTCACGCTCTTGTCGTCAAGCGGTTCGGTAACGTGAGGTGGTCACGTACCAAGGTTGTCATGCCGGGGTGGTCACACCGGGGTGATCACGTAGGGGTGGTTACGTGAGATGGTCACGCCGGGGTGGTCACACAGGTTGATCAGCTGAGATGGTCACACCAAGGTGGCCACGCCGGGGTTGCCACGCTAGGGTGGTCACGCTTGGATAGTCATTCCAGCGTTGTCAACACGGGTTGGTCACCTGAGATGGTCACGCTTGGGTGATCACGTGAGGTGATCACGTGAGGTGGTCGCGCCAAGGTGGTTAGCCGGCCGGTCCGCTCACGCTGGTTGCTTTTGAATTTAGATATCTGCGGTGGCGCCCTAGGGATACTTCGTTGGTGAGTTCCTCGGGGTTGGCACCGGCTTCCGCAGATTTTTCTTCTCCCACATTCAAGACAGTTTTGGAAAATAAAATCAGTCAAATTTACAAACGGCATCCCTATCGCGAGCCGCGCTTGCACTGCCCGTGAGCTGGGTGCATACGAGGCTCGTGGGGCCGCAGTTTCGCCACCCCTGGGCCCACTGCAGTGGGAATATGAAGGGCGCGGGAGATGATGCGAGCGTAGTGCTCACAGGCCACGAAGGAGAAGGACGAGAGTGCAGAGATGTGTACATGTCGCTCCATACAAAGAGAACCCATGCCATGTGCCCACGCGGTTGGCGGTCGCGTCCGCATAAACGTAGCCGAGAGTGGGTTTCGCATCGGCCTCGCGGAGGCTGCACGTGTTGTAAAAATTGTTTTTATTCTACCGTGTAGCACCTTACGCGCACACGCACCTTTGCAGCTTTGCTTGCGGCATCCCACCCTCATGTCAGACGACGTGCCGCCCCCCCACGAGAGGCGCGCCGGCCATGTCGCGTGCACAGCCACTCTGCGTGTTCGTCCCCACGGTGGGCTGGTGACTGGGCTGCTCAATACTAACCCTGACATGCGTCCGTACGTTCATACATGTGCTTTCTCTGGGTGCCTTGCTCGCTGTCCTCCTCCTCCTCCTCCTGGTCTTCCTCGTCCTCCTCATACTGTGCCAACCCCCCCCAACATCTGCCGTTTGCGGTGGCGGCGGCGTCTGTTCCAATGTGGTTCTTGGACGGCTTTCGGCACACGGGTGTCGCGACATTCTGCCCCGGCTCTACTGCTGCGGCCGGGAGGGAGAGACGGTTGGGGCCGCCGCCACCGCGGCGTGCTGCGTCCGCGCTGTGCGGCTTTTGAGGCCCGGCAGTTTTCCGTGGGTCCGCTTGCGTTTTAGACGCTGCACGCGCTCCCACTGCGTCACCGCTGCTACGGCTGCCACCGCTGTCACTGCCTCCTCTCCCAGCCCTCCCACATGTAGGCCAGAGCAGCATCCTTCCACTCTGTACATACATACCCCTTTTTTTCCACTGGCACATCCGAGCCTAGCCAGCGCAGGAGCTCTCGCGGTACCGCTGGTCTTCCACTGGCTGCACACCGTACCGAGCCGGAAGCAAACTGCGCTACGCCGGCCTCGCGAGACATCCGAATCTGGTTCGGGGTCCATGTAGAGCCACGGACGTGGAGCTCACGATGCGTCCGTCGCGTGTTATGGCCGCGCATCTCTCGATCGCGCCATCGCCGGCATCGTCTCCGTGCGCCTCGACTCGATTCAACCGAGCCGCGACGCCGGCCGTGTGCCGACGTCGTGGCTCGGTTCCTGCAGTGGAAAAACAAACCCGGCTCGGCATGGCCCCGGCACGGTTCGGTTTTGCAGTGACAAAGCGGGAGATTGATTTGAGTGAAAATAGCCGTGAACGCCCCATTCAAATAAGCACCGGTCAGAATTTCTCTCCGGGGTGCTGTCCGTCGCAACCATTCGCTCCCACGCGGCGCCACGACACACGGAGAGAGAGAGGGGCCGCGTAGAGCAACAACTGACGCAACCCCTCCCCCCAAGGCAGTGGAAAGAGAGCGACCACCGCCCGCGGGACAATTTCCCAGAGGGCGAGATGTGGGAGGACTGACGACTAACCGGCTCGTCCAACCCCCCCCCCCCCCCCCCCCCCCCCCCCCCCCCCCCCCCCAATAAGCCCGCTTTTGCGAGTTGCTGCTGCGATCGCCACCCCCCCCTGCTAGCCGCCCTCCCGCTCGCTCACCGGCCAGCGTGCATGCCTGACCCCCGGCGGCGCCGAGACACCGTCACTGACCACGAGTCTCTCCCTTTGGTTTGTCCAGAACCTCTGAAGCGCCGCCGCACACCCCGAGTAAGTGCTGCATCCCAGCGCTGGTTCTCCCACTCTCTTTGTCTGCCGCGTCTGTCTGTGCTCTGTAATAAATGCCGCAGCGTCGCCCGGCCGACCAGCGACAGGAACGCGCTTCTTCCCCCACCCCCCCGGTCGCGGCCACCCACCCCCGCTGCCCCGCCCCCGCCTGGCTCTCCCCTCCGTGGATTGTGGGGGCGGAGGGGGGGGGGTTGTCGGTGTGGGCAGCGAGGGAGGGGATGCGATTGTGTGGCATGTGCCAGGCCTGTATTGAGCAGCATCAGCACCAGTTGTATTTGGAATTCGGATTTGGCCCACTTCTCTGTACGCACGGGTGTGTGGTTTGCTTATAGTACCTTAGCATCTGGTGACATTTGGGTGTGTTGACTTACGGTAGTAGTCGTAATTACAATTTGGTGTTTTATATTTAAGAATGTGCACTGTGTTCGGGTTGTGTAAAATCGGCGACGTGCGTTTTTAAACGGCGAGCACCGCGCTTGTGGTGGCGATGGTGATGGTGTCTGCGTCGGATTTTAACCGCGCGCGACGGGACGGTGTTCTACCCCTTTAAGCCGTGTGACACGTGCGTCCGTGTGTAATTCCAGTTCTCTCCGGGCATGCCGATGGGGGTGTGAGTGCACCCCCTGTGCAACAGCAGCCAGCCGGGGTCTCCCCAGAGCCTCCAGGACCCCCCTGTAACCAGCATGCGCGCTGTCGGGGGGTGGGGGGGGTTGGGGTGGGGGTAAGGGGGATCGTATCATAGTCCAGTAACAACACCCGACACGCACGCACACACCGGCGTGCACGCACACACCGCACTGTGACGTCCCGCACAGCCACGCTTGTTCCCTCGCCGGACACGCGCACACCTCCCGACACACACACACACACACCGGCTTCACTTACGCAGTACTACACACGCGCAACGTACACACCTCCCCGAAAGCTGGCTTAAGTGTACACAGACGTGCGCGGCCAGGCGAAATTGTTGTACATACCAAGAACTCTTTGTTTAAATGTGGTTTCAATAACGATGATGGTCCTCGATTTAAATGCCACTCTCCGGAGAGCTGCGTGTCGGGTGGGGGCTGCGGTTCCACCCACACGTCGTCCTGGACGCCCGGCTGATCACCAAGAAAAAAGGAGGCCCGGTTCGTCTCATGGTTGTTTGCGGCGACGTGGTGGGGGGGCGGGAGTGGGGGGAGGGGTTGGTGGTGGGGGACACGGGCTGGGGGGGGGGATGTGTTGTGTTGCTCACGGGAGAAGCGTTGTTCCGTCTGTAGTTGGGAGTCGGTGTATTTCCACGGAGTGCATGTCCTGTGGTGGTGGGGGGATGTTTTAATTGAATCGCTCGCCGTACGCCGCCCTCCCCTTGTAGGGACGGCGTCTGCCCTCTATACTCGACAATAATAATAATAATCCACGGCGGTTTTGATAGCCCACCGGTATTTGCTCCGCGAACGCAAATCAAGGAGGGAAGTGGACGGCTCCATCGACGGCATTGGCAGATTTCTCCTGTTTGGTCGCGAACTTAAAACCTGAACGGACATCAAATTTGGCAACTCACACGGTGCCTCCCCCACCCCCTCCCCCACCGACACGTTACCTTGCCCCCCCCCCCCGCACACACTTTTCTAAAAAAAAGAATTGATGAAAAATCTGTATCCGTGGCGATGCCATTGCTCTCATCTCCACAGTAACCACTCTGCGTTACCGATGGCACGTTGCCTCCGTGGCAACCAGAAGCCATACCGCAAGGGTGCAATGATGTCCACGAAATAAGTGTTAACGTTAAATAATTACCTAACCAATTGAGATGACAAACGTAATATTCCTCCCATGAATTGCCCTGTTTAGTGAGATATTTTTAAGCGTACTGCATGTCGAATTAGTTTTGTTCTGTACCGTAGTTTGTCATTTAAGCCTCCCTTCCTGTAGTTGCGTATTTGTTGGCGGTCCCCTCTCTTTGGCTTAGCTGCGTTGTTTATACAGGGTACCCAGCCGCCAACCGGGATGATGGGCCCCCCTAGAAGAGCCCCCCCTTTGGCGTTCAGAGGTGTCTCCCCCCCCTCTCACAGCCCACCATGAGGGAGGGGGGCAGGGTGGGGCAGGCAAACCTCGTGCGCCAGTCCTGGGGCGGCACAGGGTTCAATTACAAGTATTTTTTTTTAATCATCATTATTCAATTTGATGTGTTAGTGATGGTGCAAGTACATTTTAATATAAAAAAATAAAAAATCGCAAAACCCGAAGGTAACGTAGATGGACGGTGTATAATGTCGCCAGCCGCCGGTGCAAGTGCGCGAAGCCTCCGTGGCGATGGGGAGTGGGGTGGGGTTAGTGGTGGAGGAGGTGGCCCCGGGGAGTCGGGAGGGACGTGGTCCCCATGGTCCCGTTGCAGCATCGGTCCACACAGGCCCAGAATCCCGTGGACCCGGTTCTACGTGGAGCTGTTGCCATGGCAATGGGCTTCTATAACTCCTTTTTCCACCGTACAACCGAGCCGCACCGGGGCCTGCCCCACTACCCCGATTATATTTTTTCCCACTGCAGAAGCCGAGCCCTGCCGCTGACACCGCGCAGCGAGTCGAGTCGCACGTAGCCAGTGCTTATGACGAAAATTATTAACTCTGGCCCTGCTTGCGTCCCCCCCCCCCCCCCGGGACCGCCGCGGTGGCGAGATGTTAACTACCTCGCCTGGTATACAGGAGGTCATGGGTTCCATCCCAACCCTTGATGCCTGCTGTATATTTGGAGTTTGCTTGCGCTCCCCGTGGTCGCGTGGATTTTTCTCCGGGTCCTCCCTCTGCGTTTAGAGCCAGCATCACGCGTTTATGGTATTTGGCTGCTGTACATTTCCACGTGATAAGCCACTTCATTGGGTTATCATCTGTGGCCAGGTCGCTTCTGAAAAACTTTTATAGCTCAGTGGGACTTACCTGGTAAAATAGAATGGTTTGGTTCCTGCTCAGCTGGACTAATCGCCAGTGGAAAACCACGCGTGCAGTGAGGAACCCCGCAAGGGCATGGCTCGATTATGCCAGTAAACAAGGGATATTGGTGAACTTTCATTGTATCTGTTTCCATGGCAACATGCTCAACGTCCATTGATTCCATTGGATCAACACGTTCCATATAAACGAGCTCCACTTGAACTGGTTCAATGGACATGTTTCCACGAGAACGGTCTCCATGCCAACTGCTTCCAATGGACTTGTTTCCATGTGAACGTGTTTCCATGGGAACAGACTCTGTAAACTGGTTCCACTGGGCCTGTGTCTGTGGGAACCAAGTCAAACAGTGTTCATGGGAACGGTCTCGATGGGTGAACCTTTTTTGTTGTTGTAACGTCAGAACAAGACTCCGCGTGAACCGGTTCTATTCGGCCCGCCCGCACGAGAACAGCGACGCGCGTGAACGGCTTCCGTGGCAACATCGATACGCGTCAACTGGTTCCCGTTGGACCTTGTTTCCATGGCGATGGCTCTCGGGGATAAGGGGGGAAGGGGGGGGGGACCCAATTTTGTCGGGAGAAAAAAAACCCGGCTCCACGTGGAGATGCGGCGAGGGTGTTGCTGCGTCGTTCATCCCGTGTACACGTTCTCTGTTACCGACAGTGTCATGTATATTTCAGTGTACACAACCCTTAGGCATGTTTGCGCCTGTGCGTTCTTCAGTTTTATTTCCATGCTGTGTAATATGCTGTTATTTCTTGCTTTCTCGCGGAGCCATGAACTACCAACAATTAAATAAACATCTTATGTTGTCGGTAGCCGTGTTGTCTGTCCCGGGCCCCCCAATTTGGGGGGCTGCCTCTCGCAAATCTTACACCTTTGCCTGGTTTTACCATTCCCCTCCACCCCTACTATATTTTTTTCTTATGGGGGGCAGCTGTCATCGGTGGGGGGTGCTCTAGGCCCATAATAAAACAACTACCGTTGGCCATCAAAATTATTGAGACGTAATGATGCAAGGCGCGTTTAGGATGCGGTGGTGGGATTTCATGCAAATCTTTACTCTTTAAGTTGCGTCCCAGCATAGGGCAGGGGATGGGGATGGTGTCCCATGTTCGCTGTACAGCTGCGCTAATGTCCAAGTGTAATCTGAGGCAGATGGCTTACACGAGTGCGGTCACCAATGACTTGCCAAGCCGTTTGTTCCGCACGTAGTTTGGTCAAATTCGGGTTCCCGATATTTGGCAATGTCAGTTCGCCACCGAACGAAATATTATTACTCTTCGGCAGGTCAACGTGGGAGAAGTGCTAGCCCGGGCCCCGAGTGTTGATAAGACATCGGTTGTAGGAATCTCGGAAGTAGCTCTCTGATGGCACTTTCCGCGGATCGGTTTTCTCACGTGGGGAACACCGCGATCTTCTTGAGGCGAGAGCAAACTTTTTAGGGGGGGGCGGGGTCGACAGATATTGCAGCTGATGATAGCGGCGCCTTTACTAACTGCAGGGGTTGACGACTCGATTGCGGACATTGAGAATCAAAAAAAAATATTCCCGATAAGCATGCAGTAACGTGGTTGGGAACCGTTAGGCGAAGGTTCCAAGTTTACTGCCTTATGGGCCCATCCATTTAGTGCGTTGGCAAAAATCTGTCAACTTGACCCCTCCCTCCCTGTACGCACGTGGACTTTTTACACCTTTCACCTGCGTAGGTTCGCCTGACGCATCCCCCCCGAATCCTACAGAACGGCCGATATTTCATCCACGCAAAAACGATCAAGGATTGATAATATTAACGTGTTTAAGCAAACAGATAGTCCAGGGCCGGCTGCATTAAAGATTTCAGTTGCGTACCTTTAGAAAGTTTGTCTAGTGTCTGCTCGGTTCAAACGACGACTGAACCCAGTCGAACAGGTGACGTGTTATATAGGGGTTTCGTCAACACGTGCAATGTCAGGCTGAAGCACAGCAGCGTGATAGCTGCTGAGAGGTGTCCATACAAGTGGACACCTCTCCCACAGTCCCACTTCTCCCGCTAGTACTTCGTCTGACAGCTGAAGAAACTGAACTCTACATTGTCAGTAGACTCCCCATACGCAAGCGTACGCATTTGGGTTAACTCCCCCCCCCCCCCTCCATGCGTACGTCCTAAATGGATGGCCCCTATGCACGGCGGCGTGAGCGTACGAGCCGCGAATTTTGAGAACTTCGTGACAATTGTTCAACACTCCCCCTGTTGGCCATTGTTGTGTACTACTACATGTAGCCGAAACGAATTATCTTGGTTCACAGCGTTCAGGAACATTCAATAGCCATCGCACTTGATGATTGGCTGCAGCCACAATGGTGTCCCCGAGTTACAAATAGTTTTTTTTCTAACTGGCAAGGCACACTGAGCTATGTTTCTCTTTGTCAGAAGCGACCCTGGGCATCAAAAATGGTGGACTTTTATAGCAGCCAAACTCTGAAACGCATGTTTCTAAATCTGGAGGAAAAGGCCGGAGGACCCAGAGAAAAACCCCACGCGACCACGGGAAGATAAACATGCAAACTCCAAATATACAGCAGGCGTCAGGATCGAACCCACGACCTCCTGTTTTACCAGGCGAGGTAGTTAACATCTAGCGACCGCGGCGTTTTTATTCGCCCAGCCCTCTCGGCACCATCCCGAGCCGCCTTGCATGTGTAGGGATATCGATGGGCTGTGTACACTTACCTGCAGGGGGGCAGTCGTTATATCCCGAACCCAAGGGCAGGTGGGGGGCTACGGGGTGTTCCAGGATCCCCCGGGACCCCTCCCGATAGGAGAGGGCTGCGGGGTGTCCTGGGAGCCCCCTCTGGAACTCTCCAGAAGGTAGGCGGAGCCAGGGATGACGCTCCGGTGCTGGGTATAAAAGCCGGACCCCGGGAAGGGTCCGGGGCCAGTCCAAGACAGAAGCAAGAAGACCAGCTGGCTAGTGCCCTGGGACCCCTAGCCCCGCTGCCCTTGTAAGGGCCGGGACTCTGTGTGGCTCAGTGGTGACACCCTGGGAACCCCCGGCCCGACGTCTTTGTGAGGGCCGGGTCCGAGTGGGCCAGTGGTCGGAACCCGCATCCTGGCTAGGTCGGATTAGAGTAGCCTCCCCTACGCACCCACAGCCGGAGGACCCAGAGTCGTGGTCTCGTGTTAGGGCATGTTAGACCGGAGGAAATACCTCCCCAGGCAGTAATTAAAGAAGGGCCGTTCCCTGAGTGAGCCGGTGCTGTATTGCCGAGTGTTGTATCAATAAAAATGTTGCCTCCAAGATTCGTCTCCGACGTATCCAGAACTCACTACACATGCATTGAGAGCCAGATGAGCCAAAATGTGACTTTGGAATATTTACGTGATTCGCCAATGAACTTCCACGTGTTCACTTATCCGTGTTCACTCGTCTGTGCGAGTTAAGTTTATTTACATGGCACAGTCGGGGGCATAGTTGGTGCATCTGCCAGTCATCTCAGTCGGTCAACCATGGCACCTGGGTCTATCCCATGACCTGGGGGGTAAGTGGTGGTGGGTGGGTGGGGAGGTAAGTGGTGGTGGGTGGGGGGGTGTAAGTGGTGGTGGGTGGGGGGGTAAGTTGTGGGGGGTAAGGGGTGGGCGGGTATGGGGTGTAAGGGGTGGGTGTGGGGGGTATGGGGTGTAAGGGGTGGGTGTGGGGGGTAAAGGGCGGGTGGGTGGGGGGGTAAGGGGTGGGCGGGTGGGTGGGTGGGTGGGGGGGTAAGGGGTGGGTGGGCGGGTGGGTGGGGGGGGTAAGGGATGGGTGGGTGGGTGGGTGGGGGGGTAAGGGGTGGGCGGGTGGGTGGGGGGGGTAAGGGGCGGGTGGGTGGGGGGGGTAAGGGGCGGGTGGGTGGGGGGGGGGTAAGGGGCGGGTGGGGGGGGGGTAAGGGGCGGGTGGGTGGGGGGGGGTAAGGGGCGGGTGGGTGGGGGGGGTAAGGGGTGGACGGGTGGGGGGGGGGTAAGGGGGGGGGGGTGGGGGGGGGGGGGGGGGGGGGGGGGGGGGGGGGGGGGGGGGGGGGGGGGGGGGGGGGGGGGGGGGGGGGGGGGGGGGGGGGGGGGGGGGGGGGGGGGGGGGGGGGGGGGGGGGGGGGGGGGGGGGGGGGGGGGGGGGGGGGGGGGGGGGGGGGGGGGGGGGGGGGGGGGGGGGGGGGGGGGGGGGGGGGGGGGGGGGGGGGGGGGGGGGGGGGGGGGGGGGGGGGGGGGGGGGGGGGGGGGGGGGGGGGGGGGGGGGGGGGGGGGGGGGGGGGGGGGGGGGGGGGGGGGGGGGGGGGGGGGGGGGGGGGGGGGGGGGGGGGGGGGGGGGGGGGGGGGGGGGGGGGGGGGGGGGGGGGGGGGGGGGGGGGGGGGGGGGGGGGGGGGGGGGGGGGGGGGGGGGGGGGGGGGGGGGGGGGGGGGGGGGGGGGGGGGGGGGGGGGGGGGGGGGGGGGGGGGGGGGGGGGGGGGGGGGGGGGGGGGGGGGGGGGGGGGGGGGGGGGGGGGGGGGGGGGGGGGGGGGGGGGGGGGGGGGGGGGGGGGGGGGGGGGGGGGGGGGGGGGGGGGGGGGGGGGGGGGGGGGGGGGGGGGGGGGGGGGGGGGGGGGGGGGGGGGGGGGGGGGGGGGGGGGGGGGGGGGGGGGGGGGGGGGGGGGGGGGGGGGGGGGGGGGGGGGGGGGGGGGGGGGGGGGGGGGGGGGGGGGGGGGGGGGGGGGGGGGGGGGGGGGGGGGGGGGGGGGGGGGGGGGGGGGGGTGGGGGGGGGGGGGGGGGGGGGGGGGGGGGGGGGGGGGGGGGGGGGGGGGGGGGGGGGGGGGGGGGGGGGGGGGGGGGGGGGGGGGGGGGGGGGGGGGGGGGGGGGGGGGGGGGGGGGGGGGGGGGGGGGGGGGGGGGGGGGGGGGGGGGGGGGGGGGGGGGGGGGGGGGGGGGGGGGGGGGGGGGGGGGGGGGGGGGGGGGGGGGGGGGGGGGGGGGGGGGGGGGGGGGGGGGGGGGGGGGGGGGGGGGGGGGGGGGGGGGGGGGGGGGGGGGGGGGGGGGGGGGGGGGGGGGGGGGGGGGGGGGGGGGGGGGGGGGGGGGGGGGGGGGGGGGGGGGGGGGGGGGGGGGGGGGGGGGGGGGGGGGGGGGGGGGGGGGGGGGGGGGGGGGGGGGGGGGGGGGGGGGGGGGGGGGGGGGGGGGGGGGGGGGGGGGGGGGGGGGGGGGGGGGGGGGGGGGGGGGGGGGGGGGGGGGGGGGGGGGGGGGGGGGGGGGGGGGGGGGGGGGGGGGGGGGGGGGGGGGGGGGGGGGGGGGGGGGGGGGGGGGGGGGGGGGGGGGGGGGGGGGGGGGGGGGGGGGGGGGGGGGGGGGGGGGGGGGGGGGGGGGGGGGGGGGGGGGGGGGGGGGGGGGGGGGGGGGGGGGGGGGGGGGGGGGGGGGGGGGGGGGGGGGGGGGGGGGGGGGGGGGGGGGGGGGGGGGGGGGGGGGGGGGGGGGGGGGGGGGGGGGGGGGGGGGGGGGGGGGGGGGGGGGGGGGGGGGGGGGGGGGGGGGGGGGGGGGGGGGGGGGGGGGGGGGGGGGGGGGGGGGGGGGGGGGGGGGGGGGGGGGGGGGGGGGGGGGGGGGGGGGGGGGGGGGGGGGGGGGGGGGGGGGGTGGGGGGGGGGGGGGGGGGGGGGGGGGGGGGGGGGGGGGGGGGGGGGGGGGGGGGGGGGGGGGGGGGGGGGGGGGGGGGGGGGGGGGGGGGGGGGGGGGGGGGGGGGGGGGGGGGGGGGGGGGGGGGGGGGGGGGGGGGGGGGGGGGGGGGGGGGGGGGGGGGGGGGGGGGGGGGGGGGGGGGGGGGGGGGGGGGGGGGGGGG